GTGTCAAATAGAGCTGCCCTTCTCCGCTAGCGTGCTAACCTCCACAGGATGCTCGGGGTTGCAGATGCGCGTTAAATGCATGGAGGCCGGGCGCATGGAGTACATGGCAGCAGTGCGAGAGTAGCCCGAGTCGGGGAAGACAAAGCGGTCGCACGAGGCAAAGAGCAGCCACTCTGCTACCGTCTCCTGCACCATCACCTCGCTCGCCTCGTTGCTCTTGGAGTTGGGGTCCTCATTCTTGCTCACGTGGCGCGGCACAAAGTTAGTCACTACCACCTGAGGGAAGCGCGGGAGGCCGGACATGCAAGTGGAAGGAGCAGGTAAGTCAGGGTTAAGCAGAATAATAAATCAGCTGGTAACATTGCCACAAATCCCTGAATCCTGATGATACGAGGTACTGAATAGCAAGCAGGAATACAGAGTGGTGGTGTTTCAGTGGAGGTGCGCGCATACCTTATCGGGGTATTTTTTCTGAATGGCCTCCTTGAGCTGGTGCGAGTTGGTGAGTACGAGCCACTTGGTCTTCATTGGCGATGGATGCCACCAGTCCTCCACGCCCTGGTCAACGCAACACAGCAAGGCAAGCGCACACAGGGGAAGAGCGTTGAGAGAAGCGGATAGTTCAAAAGACAAAGGGGGGTTGGTGGGGGAGTGGTGGGGGAGAAAGGGGGGTGGGGTTTGGGTTGGGGGAATGCGTGGAGAAAGGAACGAAGAAACGATACCCCATGCTCCATCCCCCATGCTTCCATACCCCCATCCTCCATCTCCCTCTCCCTCCTCACCTGAGCGCACTCGAGCGCGGGTCTGGCTTGTTCCATGAGCTGCCCAATCTGCGTTTCGTTGAGCGTGATGGGCGCACCGTAGCCGTGCAGCCCGCCCCACACGATGCGGTCGTCCACGCGAATGTGCACGCCCACGCTCAGCCCGCGCTCGCTGTGCAGCGCGCGCGCCGTCTCGCGCATCATCTGCCACACCTCCGGCTTCGGCCTGCGCGGAGAGAGAACAGCCCGAGGGGAACAGGCGAGGGAGATAGAGAGGTAGAGTGAGACACGGGCGGTGGGTTAGAGGACGGTTAGACAGGGGCAGTGGCGGTGTGCTAAAGGGCTGGAGAGGAAGGAGAATTTTGACGGGCTGGAGCATATAACATAAATTCGAAGGAAAGCGCTTAGTAGAAGCGGGAAAGACCCCCGCCATGCCCTCTTCGCTCTCTCCTGGCACCCACCTGAGCAGTAGCCGCAGGATGCACCCGAAGGAGTAAGGCGGGCGGAGTCCCAAGGAGCGGAACCTGGAGCCCCACGTGCCGTTGTTCTTGTAAAAGTAAGTCAGATGACCCACGTTCCACGCGACGCGCACCACGGGGTACTTCTCCATGCGCCCGAAGAGCGCCTCGGGATCCACCTTCATGGCCGTGAGCGCGATTCGCGGCACTCTACCCGACTCCACGGGTTCCGTCTCGTTGTTTATGAACTGCACCGGGTCGATTTTCACGTCAGGAGTGGGCCGCCAGTCGAACGTTGCCGGCTCGAAGGCGTGTAGCAGCCACGGGTGTTTTACGACGAGCGCGCGGCCGTCTAGAAGAGCCGTTATAAATGTGGTCACTAGGCCCGTGATCGTGTCGCCGTACCCGCCTATCCCCGAGTCGTACGCCAGAAAGCGCGGCGTGGACGGTAGAGGGTCTAGGAACGAATTCGCGAGCGCAGCGTCTGATGCGGGCGAGGAGGAGGAGGTGACTGGGGGAGAGCCGGAGGGTGCGGCAGTGGAAGGGGAAGCTAGAGAGGCAGGCGCGGCGGTTGACCCGGGAGCTCCGGTTGCTGCGGCCGCAGCTGTACTGGCAGTGATGGGTCCGGCGGCGCGGCTGAGAGCTCGCATGTGGTCATTTAGACGCACCGCGAACTCCTTTAAATTGCCGCATAGGCGGTCCGGGTAGGAGAAGTCGAATGGAGAGGGTAGCCCTGGACATGCCGAAGCGATATCGTGCGCAGCGCGCACCTGGCGGAGATTGAAAGGGGAGGGGGAGGAGAAAAGGGGGGAGGACGGGGAGGGAAGGGGAAAGGGATGCGGGGAATTGGGTGGGGAAGACGGCAGGTACAGCATTGACGGATACGGCGCGTGGGGAGGATAGGTGGGAGAAAGCAGATTAGTGTGCGCAAGGAGCAGGTGAAGCAGGGAAGGGACGACGGGATGCTGGAGTGAGCAGGTAGGTTATGCGCGCCACAAGCGTCGAGTCCAAGCGGTATCGACGGGGCGTGAGACTGTTAAAAAAATATGGAAAAACACGTTACATGCTTCGAAGACAAATGCGTTAAATTCGTGGGATCTGGAAAAGAAGTGCGAGGCTCACCGATGGGAATAAGGTGAGCAACTGGGAGAGCGTGCAGAGAGCTAGCAATCTGGAGTGAATCATGGCGTCGTTTTTGCTAAAGTCGTTGAAAATTAGTTGAGAAGCCCAAATTGTGGCGAGAGTCGATATTAGGACTAGAAATATGCTGAACTGGTGAAGTTGTTCTTCTTGTAGTGGTAAGAACATGCTGAACTGGCGAAGTAGTTCTTGTAGTGATGAGAGGTAGTTGAGCAGGGAGAAATGAACGTCCATCCAAAACAGTACAAAAGGTTGGTGGCTGCAACTGGTTGTTGCTACACATGATGCTCAGCTGCTGCACGCACATTTGGTCTTCTTACATTCGACAGCCTGCCCAATTGCATTTGGTACCGGCCAGTTGCACGCACGATACAAGCCCATATTTTGATCGCAGCCGTTTTTTTTTTTTTTTTTTTTTTTTTTTGAAGGAGGTGAAATCACATTATACAATGCAAAAAACACCATCCACGGTCGTAACCGGGCTAGAGGGCCTGGGTACAGTTGTACCGTACCCTCGCGGAAACATCTAAGGTGGTTTAAAAGTCAGGTGCCTAAATATTGCAATCTGCCCGTTCAGAATTCTCTTCACGCCTTTGACATTTCTCACTCCTGGCAGAAACACCTTGGAGCATCCCACATGCTGTACTTGTTGCTTCATACAGGTGCCGAACTTGCCTTGCCGAAACTGGTAGGTTGGGGTGGTTGCACTCTTCACCTTCTTGAGGCGAAAGACAAAAGGAGTGGTTGCTGTGAAAGCCAATTTAGCACGAATGCGGTGAAAACCGGTTCCAATGGCATATGTGGTCGGACGTTTTGGGTGACGTTGAACATATAGCTTATCACGCTGGCATCTGTCCGTTCGTGAGATATTTTGAAGGCGCTGGTTAAATTTCTTCACCTGCCCACTACAGACCCGATTTTGCCCGTGGCGAATGTTGGCGAGCAGGCGAAATGCTGTTGCTCATTAGAAACCAAAATGACAAAAACAAGTTGTGGGTACTTAGCGGGCATCATGTGTAACCACTTTCAGAGTGTTTGCGACGAAATCGACACGAAACTCTCTTTGCCACGTCGTGGCTAACGAGGGAATGGGGTTACAAATCCTGTGACCAATAGGAATGGGGCGAGGGAACTGTGTTTGCATCATGCAACAGTGCTGCATGCGCAAATCGAAAGCTGCTTGCCGGCCACCCTAGACGCGAATTTGGGGGAAACTCGCAAAAGTCTTCTCCAGTCTCCACCACTCCACCACCACTGTACCATCTCTGGCCCACAGACATCAACCCCATCGCATCCAGGGTTTCGATTTGTTTTGGGCTACACTGCCAGACCCGAGTTCTGACCCGCTACACCCTGCCCTGAAGGGCTCCTTAGAGCTAATACCCATAAAGCAGTTGATGGCCTTGTTTCTACAGGTGAACGATCCACCCCTTGTTGAAGTTTCCGAGATTGATGCACCTGTACCCATAATTGCAGGTCAGACGTGGCTTATCACGGTGGTAATAACTTCCAACAGAAGAAAGAAAAAGCTCACGTACTGCCCTTATACAATTGAAGATTGTCATGACCGAGGATCACACTTCGTGGGTGCCCATGCTGTCCGCGGATATTCAACTACAGTACCTTAGGGCGGATTCTGGGATCTGGTCAGAACCTCTGGTCAGCCGAAATCATGCCTATTTCTCACCATTTGTGCCAATTGTAGGTGACAACAGTAAACCCAGAGGTTTGCCCAGAGGTTAGACCAGAGCCCGGAATGCGCCCTAAGTTTCGAGGAGGGGGTTAGTGGTCTCTCAGGATGTGATTGAATCGAAGACGAGTAGGCATAATAGGAATTCCTACACCTATGAGATACATTGCCTCCTACAGATGTCTGTTTCGCATGTGAATAGATTAAGATAGGGCATAAGGTAGGGCACAGAGAAAGAACAGACTTGCAGACCACGGCAAATCTGCAAGCAAACCACTTCGCATGGGTTATGCTCATTCCCAATACTTACAATCTCTAGATGATTTCACAAGTAATAGCTGGCACTCTACGACAACTTCCAAAGTTTTTTTTAATGTTTTCCTAAGAAAAAGAACTTATGTGCTGAGAGTGCATTATCAATCATTTTGTAAGTACATGTGGTGGATTTTGTCAGGATTCCATTCATGATAAACCATCATGTTTACGTGTGTACTTTTGCGGGTCACCACTTATCGCAGTGAGACGGTCCCCGACACCGAGCCATAACAGGAGGTCTGGACTTGTTGGTGTGGTCTGCAAGCGCAAACCTGAAAGCCCCCATTCACCTATGACATCGCTGCGCCAGTTACCCCACCACATGATGATGTGCTACACTGCGGATCACTGGGGTCGCTGCTCGTCTCCTTCCTTGCGGGTCCCCTCCATAACCATCACATCCATACATTCGCATGGGTGGACATTTGCGATTGGTCCCCTTCCCACACACCACCAGCCCCCAGATCTAAAGCAACCCCTGCAGGGAGCGAGAAGTGTGTCCTTGAAGTTGTCGGGACGGCTTGAGCCTCAAGCGAAGCAGTTTGCAAAGCTAGGTGTGCTTTGCACTTCGCACATAGTCGAGCAGCAGCAGGCCTGGCCGTCGACGTGTTAGAAGGCTTGGACACGTCAGCACGCATGGAAGACACTCACAAAAGCGTCTGCTGGGACGCAGACGTGGCGCTAGGGCAAAAGGAACAGAGGCAGCCCCAGCTGCAGCAAGAGCAGCAGAAGCAGCAGAACGAGCGCAGCAGAGGTGCTAGCGATGTGGTACTCGTCTCAGGGACACGCTTCACGTCGAAGCCGTCGAATATTTCCTCGCTCGACGCGACTCTGCCTCTTGTGCTGCCGAGACGCCGAGATTCGACAGCCGCTCCGGTGGGTAGCATGATGGGATCCGTTAAGGTGACGATCGTTGGTGTTGTGAGAATTGTAGAGGCCTTTTAAGGGGCTACCGGCGCGGTATTAGCGGAGCAGGAATATCAATAAACTTTGTTAGCAGTGTAGCATCATGGTAGTGTAGTTGATGTTCTTCTGATCGCTGCCACAGAGTTACGAGACGACTCTTGCTCGGCTCAACGGTCGGGATCCGGTGACGTTAACTTAGTATCTGAGGTTGGCGGCGCGGCCGAAGCGTTTCGCGGCAGTGTATACTTCGATTCAGTACGCTAGTTGTGGATCCGTGGAGGCACAGACTACACTGCGTGTACTGTAGATGTGGCTAATTGCACTGTAGGTATGGCCTTATACGACGAATTCGGCGTTAAGAATCCTTTTGTTCCGGGCTCTCTTCCCCTTGTTCTGCGTGTTATGCGTGAAAATTACTTGCTATGGTTCGATCGTGGAGCCGTGAAGAAGGCTCGGATACCGCGAGGAAACCATGGTTAGCAAGGCAGTCGAGAGCATCCGTGTGAGCTCGTGAGCTTGTGAATACTCCAGTACGTGAGCACGTCGCACATGAGCACGTGCCTGTGCCTTTGCTCATGCGCGTCCGTCCGTCTTTCCCGTCCCGTCCCTTCCGCTTCCCGCCTTTCCCGCCCAGAGCCCCGATGCGAAGAACCCAAAGTCGTACGAGTTGCGGCGATCCGGACGTAAGAGGCGCCCCCCAGAGAACAGCGACTTCGAGTACGTCGACTTTGACCCGTACCGGCCCCCATCAGTCAAGAAAGTCAAGCAGGTACGAGTTTTGAGTTCCGAGGTTTGAGTCGACTCAAGGCCCCCAAGGCCCCCAGAGAACAGCGACTTCGAGTACGTCGTCTTTGACTCGTACCGGCCCCCATCCGTGAAGAAGGTCAAGCAGGTACGGTACGGCCCATGGCCCTGCCTATCGCACTTACCCATATGCTGGTCACAGAGTAAACTATGAATCGGAGTTGTTGCCTGTGTGTGTGTGTGTGTGTGTGTGTGTGTTGGGGGGGGGGGGGGGGGGGGTGTGCGTTCAACGGTATTTCCTTTGTTTCTCTCTTTCACCCCGTTTTTTTTTTCTTCACCAGGTAAAATTCCGTATTCCCCGTAAAAAAAAACATTACACCCCGTAAACAATGTTTTCACGCTCTCTCCCTTGCTCTCCGCAGAAGCCGTCCCACACGTCTACCCCTCGCTCTTTCATGGCCCGTCGCTCTCACACTGACTGGGGGCGCTCCTCCCCTCCTGCTCGTCGCAGCAGCACCAGCAGCAGGGATTTGGTGACGGTGGGGGCGGGCAGGAGAGACGGGAGAGACGGGCACGTGCAAGAAGGAGGGGCAAGGAAGGATCGGCGCCGGCAAGACGAGGCCCGGTTTTCCCAGAGGCGAACGGGGTTCACTACGAATTATGGTAGTCCGAGCGATGGGGGCAGGGCGAGGAGCAGCAGCGGCGGACAGGCAGAGCAAGGGGAAGGGGGTGCGGCGGTGGGGAGAGGGGAGGGTTTTGGGCGGGAACCTCCGAGAAGGGAGGGGTTACGGCCGAGGAGAAAGAGTGGAGGGACGATGAGGGAGAGGTATGAGGCGATGGGTATGACGGTTCTGGATGGCCGGGAGGAGGAGGGGAGGAGGAGGGGGAGAGTGTTGCGGCGTAGGAGACGTGTGCGGCGACAGGAGGACGATGAGGACGATGAGGAAGAGGAGGATGAGGAGGAGGAGGAGGAAGAGGAGGAGGAAGGGGACGATCATGGGAGTGAGAGCCACGGTGAGGGGGATGCACGAGAAATGGGTGAGGAAGGGGAAGAGGAGGAGGAGGAGGGGGAAGACGAGGAGGAGGAGGAGGAGGAGGAGGAAGAGGAGGAGGAAGAGGAGGAGGACGATGACCGTGCGTTCTTTTCGGCGAGAGCGTACACTCGTCGGAGACGGCACAGTGTGAAGGTGGTGCAAGGGAGAAGGCAGGAGGAAGATGCAATACACCTGGACGAAGAGGAGGAGGAAGGGCACGAGGTGGAAGAGGAGGGGGAGGAAGACGACGACGAGGAGGAGGTGGAAGGGGAAGGGGAAGGGGAGGTCGCGGGTGTACGGGCTACGGAGAGGAGAGGGAGAGAGCAAGCAAGGGAGAGGAGAAGCCAGAGGGTTTATGGGCGCAGGCGGAACGAGGTGTGGGTGGAGGAGGGCGGAGATGAGGATACGGATGGGGAGAATGAACGTGAGCACAAGCAGCAGGGCAGGGGAATCGGGGCTGCGAGAGGGGTGGCGCGCGGATCGATGCAAGGAGTACCGGGAAAGGCCCAGGGTCGGTTGGGTGTTCAGGAGGAGGATGGGCGACAGGAGGGGAGGGCGAAGCGAAACCGGGGGTTGCCAGGGCTGGAGAAGGAGCGGGAAGGCCAAGGAGCAGTGAAGGATGCTGGGCGGGGGTTGAAGTGGCAGTTGAGAGACGAGAAAGAGCGTGGGCAGAGGGGCAGGAGCAGAGAGCGCGGGGAGAGGGGGAGGAGCGGCGAGCGAGGGGAGAAGGAGGCCAGGGGGGTGGAGGGTCGATTGGAGAGAGGCGGTGGGGGGCAACAGGAGGGCGGGGAAAGGGAGAAGGATGGTGGTCGCGGGGTGGGTAAGGGTGGAAGCTTGCGCGAGGCTGAAGCGGGCAGAGGGCATGGTAAAGCAGAGGCACAGGAGGTATTGCGATCGCCGTATGAGCTGAGGCGATCTAATAGGTCGGCTGTGGGGGCGGATGGGGCAGAGGGGAAGGGCAAAGGGGAAATTGGAGCAGAAAGGGGAGTGGGGGAGGGGGAAGGGGGAGAGGAAGGGCATGGGGCGGAAGATGGGGGGGAAGGGGCGGGGTCAAGGGCGGGAAGTGGGAAGCGTGTGGGTGGAGGGAGACGGGCTGAAGGGATTGGTGGGATGCGAAGTGAAGGGGGGCGAGGGGAGGATATGCGAGGGAAACGGGCGGAAGTAGTAGAATTGCCTGATAGTGGTGAGGAGGAGGGGGAGGAGGAGGAGGAGGAGGAGGTAACTGAGGGTAGGGGGCGTAGGTCAAGCAGGAGACGAGGGCGGAGGGAGGAGAACGAGGGAGAGGCAGGTAAAGTGGTGGAGGGGGAAGAAGTGGGGGAGGGGGAGAACGAGGAGGGGGGCGAAGAGGATGAGGAGGAAGAGGAGGATAATGAGAATGAGGAGGAGGAGGAAGAGGAGGAGAAAGGGGGCGAGAAAGTGGAGGATGAGGCGCAGGAAGATGGTAAAGGAGTAGGAGTGAGTGGTAAAGAAAAGGGCAAGATCCGGGAGAGTGACAGAACAAGTGGGAAGAAGCGAGTGGATGGGAAGGAATTGAAAGAGGGTAACGAAAAGGAGGGCGCGGAGGGTGGTGGTCATGAGCATGAGGAGGAGGAGGAGGAGGAAGAGGAGGAGGAAGATGAGGACGATGAAGAGGAGCAAGAAGGGGAGGAGGAGGAAGGCGAGGAGGATAGATATCCACGCACTCGATCCAGAGCGGCGAGAGCAGACGAAGGGGAGGATGGGCATGCAGAGGGGGAAGAAGATGAGGAGGAGGAGGAAGAGGAAGAGGAGGAAGAGGAAGAGGAGGAGGAGGAGGAGGAGGAGGAGGAAGAGGAAGAAGAGGAGGAGAAGGAGGAGGGACGAGGGCGGTATGCACTGCGAAGCAGGGAACCAGCGCTGCGGCCACAACAGCAGCAGCAGCAGCAGCAGCAAGAGCAGCAGAAGCGCGGTGGGGGTTTGGCATCGTCTGGAGCCCAGTTTACTCTGCGCACTCGAGGGGCTCTACGCAGGTTCACTGCTGAATCAAGCCAGCAGCACACAGGGGGCAATGCAAGAGCAGGCTCAGGAGCAGGAGCAGCAGGCGCAGCAGGAGCAGGTGGTGGTGGTGGTGGCACCAGTGGTGGTAAGTCACATGAGGGGCAGCGCCATTCCCTCAGAGTCTCCCTTGCTGCTGCGGCCAGGCAGCAACAACAGCAGCAGCAGCAGCAGCAGCAGCAGCAGCAACAGCAGCGGCAGCAGCAGCAGCCTCACCACCACTCCCACAGCCAGCATCAGCAGCAGTACGGGCGGGGGGGATCAGCAGGCGGAGCAGGAGCAGGGGGCGGGTCGTCACGGCGCTCCCTGCGAGCCGGTGATGCGTCAGACGACTCTCTGGTAGTAGATGATACAGAGATGCGAAGCTTGGGCGCGCACTGGGGCGGAGCAGGCCCTCTCGAGCACTCCATTCTCTCCCATGGCGTGGAGGCAATCGGTCCTGCAGCATGGGGAGGACCTGATGGTGCTGCTGCTAGTGGCTGGGCGTGGCAGCAGGGAGGAGGTGCAGCAGGGGGTGAGGGACGGGGGCGCGGTGGTGAGGAAGTGGCGGGGAGTCCGGTTGGTGTCGTGGCAGGTGGGCTTGGCTTTGCTGCCATGCCAGGAGGGGGAGGAGGAGGAGGAGGAGGAGGTGCGGGCAGAGGTGGGGTAGCAGCAGGTACCCCAAGCGCAGGAGGAGGGGGAGGAGGAGCAGGCGGGGCAGGAGGAGGAGGAGGAGGAGGTGGGGGAGGAGGAGGAGGAGGAGGAGGAGGAGGAGGAGGAGGAGGAGGAGGAGGAGGAGGAGGAGGAGCAGGAGGAGTGGGTGGAGCAGTGGCAGCAGGGCTGGGTGCAGTGATGGGTAAGTCATCAACCTCCTGGTCCAAAGTAGGGGCGGACATACAGCCTCTCTGTGTCGACCCCTCAGTCACGTTCGACCAAGTTGGCGGGCTTTCCAAGTACATAGGAGCACTCAAAGAAATGGTCTTCTTCCCGCTGCTCTACCCGGAGTTCTTCGCTCGATACAGCATATCTCCCCCGAAAGGCGTGCTGCTCTGCGGCCCCCCTGGGACTGGGAAAACCCTAGTGGTGCGCGCACTGGCAAGTGCGGCAGCGAGAGCAGGCTCAAACGTGTCGTTTTTCATGAGGAAAGGCGCGGATGTGCTGAGTAAGTGGGTGGGCGAGTCGGAGCGGCAGCTGCGGGCGCTGTTTGACGAGGCGGCGCGCCTCGCACCGTCGATTATATTTTTTGATGAGATCGACGGCCTCGCGCCCGTCCGATCGAGCAAGCAGGAGCAGATCCACAACTCGATTGTGTCCACGCTGCTGGCGCTAATGGACGGCCTGGATTCGCGCGGGCAGGTGATTGTGATCGGAGCGACGAACCGGGTCGATGCAGTCGACGGGGCCTTGCGCAGACCAGGCAGATTCGACCGGGAGTTCTTCTTTCCGCTCCCAGACGTGCACGCTCGGGAGGAAATCCTCCGAATCCACACCAGCAAGTGGGAGAGAAAGCCAGAGGAGGGGTTGGTGAAAGAGCTAGCGGAGAGAAGCGTGGGTTTCTGTGGAGCAGACATGCGGGCGCTGTGTGCGGAGGCTGCGATCCGGGCGTTCAGGCGGATGTACCCGCAGGTGTATGAGAGCGAGGAGCGGTTTGTGATCGACCCGTCGACGGTTAGAGTTAACCGCTCGCACTTTCTCGAGGCGCTGCTGGATGTGAAGCCTGCTGCGCACCGCGCGGCGTCGTTTACCCCTGCGCCGCTGCCCCCTGCTGTGGCTCCACTGCTGAAGCGTCAGTTGGGGGATGTTGTGGGGGCGCTTGGGGATGGGTTTCCTGGGTTGCTGGAGGAGCGGGAGGAGTGGGAGGGCGGGGAGGAGGAGGGGGGTGAGGAGGAGGGTGGAGACGGGGAGGGTGAGGACGGGAGTGGGGAGGATGAGGGGGGAAGAGAGGCGGAAGGTGTGAGGGAGGAGGCAGGGGCGGTGAGTGGTGGAGAGGGAGGAGGGAATGGTGATGGTGTATTGAGGAAGAAGACGAAGGTGGTTGAGGCTAGTGCGGATGGAAGGGAGAGTGCAGAGAGGATGGATTTGGAAGAAGAGGGTGGGGTTGCTGGGGCGGTACATAGAGAGGAGAGAGACGGGAGGGAGGCGAGCGGGGTTAGAGAGGATGGTGTGGAAGAGAGTCCAGAGTGGTTACGTGCTGCGTGTGAGAAGCACGCGTCACCCGAAGGATGTGAAACGCGGGATGTGGGTAGGAGAGAGCGGAAGGTGGTTGGGAAGGATGGGGAGGGAGGGGAGGAACTGGAGTTAGGTGAGACGGTGGGAAATGCAGAAATGGGAAGGGGGCTGGGTGAAGGGGAGTCGGGATTGGTTGGAAATGGCACTGATAAGGCCTCAGATGGTGATGTGCCAGCAGCACCAATAGCAGCAGGAGCAACAGCAGCAACAGCAGCAACTGCAGCAACACCAGTAGCAGAAGCAGTAGCAGCGTCAGTTGCCTCAGCAGCAGCAGGGAAAGGAGTTTCTCCATCTATGAATCACCATCCTGCTGCTGTTCCGTTGTCCCCACTGGATGACCACGTGCCGCTGCAACGTGAACCCACCACCACCGGCGCCACTCTAGCTTTTGCCCATGCAGCAAGTGTGCGGGCAGCGGCAGCAGCAGTCCGGGCAGCTGCAGCAGGAAGAGCAGCAGCAGAGGCAGCAGTCGCAGTGGAAAACACTCGGGGGCTGGGAGGAGCAGCTGCAGGAGCAGTAGGAGTGGATTCCACGCCAGCAGCCACTGGGTCTCCTGTTGCTGCTGCTGCAGATGAAGATGCAGCAGAGGCGGAGGAAGGGGTTGGCCAAGCTAGGGGCGCTGGTGCGAGGACACAGGCTGAAGGCCGTGAAGCGGAACCGCAACAGCAGGAGAAGGAGAGGGAGAAGGAGAAGGAGAAGGAGAAGGAGAAGGAGAAGCAGGAGAGAAGTGGAGGCGCGGGCAGCAAGGGGGGCCCAGAGCGGGGGCGAGAACTGGGGCGAGGACAAGGACAAGGGCAAGGGCAAGGGCGAGAGAAGGGGCGAGGGAAGAAGGAGGGGGGGCATGGTGGTGGGCAGAACGGTCGTTTAGTGCGCAACCGCTTGGTGCAATCCCTGCAGCTGGCTCCCCGGCAGGCCTCTCTCATGCTCTGTGGCCCTCCAGGCTCAGGCCAGGTGCGCTGTTTAGCCCCTTGCTTGCACTGCTTGCTCCTCCGCATTCCCTCTTCTCTCTCTCCCCAGTCCCACTTCCAGTTTCCTCCTCCTCCTCCTCCTCCTCCTCCTCCTCCTCCTCCTCCTCCTCCTCCTCCTCCTCCTCCTCCTCCTCCTCCTCCTCCTCCTCCTCCTCCTCCTCCTCCTCCTCCTCCTCCTCCTCCTCCTCCTCCTCCTCCTCCTCCTCACACAACTCCTCTTCCCCTCCTCTCCTCTCTCTGTGCCACAGGTGTACCTGGTGCAGGCGCTGCTGCACCGTCTGGAGCACCTGCCTGTGCACTCCATGTCACTGCCATCGCTCCTCACCGACCCCTCCTCTCACTCGCCCGAGGAGGCCCTTGTGCGAGTCGTGGCAGAGGCCAGGCGTGGCCCCCGCTGCATCCTCTTCCTGCCACACGCCGACCTCTGGTGGCGCACGGTACCGCCCCTGCTCTCTGTCTCTTTCTCTATTCCGTTTCCCGGCTGTCTCTCTCTACTCCCTACCTCTTCCTGCCGCACGCCGACCTCTGGTGGCGCACGGTACCGCCCCTGCTCTCTGTCTCTTTCTCTATTCCGTTTCCCGGCTGTCTCTCTCTACTCCCTACCTCTTCCTGCCGCACGCCGACCTCTGGTGGCGCACGGTACCGCCCCTGCTCTCTGTCTCTTTCTCTATTCCGTTTTCCGGCCGTCTCTCTCTACTCCCTACCTCTTCCTGCCGCACGCCGACCTCTGGTGGCGCACGGTACCGCCCCTGCTTTCTGTCTCTTTCTCTATTCCGTTTCCCGGCTGTCTCTCTCTACTCCCTACCTCTTCCTGCCGCACGCCGACCTCTGGTGGCGCACGGTACCGCCCCTGCTTTCTGTCTCTTTCTCTATTCCGTTTCCCGGCTGTCTCTCTCTACTCCCTACCTCTTCCTGCCGCACGCCGACCTCTGGTGGCGCACGGTACCGCCCCTGCTCTGCTGGGTTCTTGTTTCTTTCGTTCCCACTCTGCCTCTCTGTACTCCCCCGCACCTCACCTTCCCCCGCTGCATCCTCTTCCTGCCACACGCCGACCTCTGGTGGTGGCACACGATACCACCCCTGCTGCCCGCACTGCTCTATCATTTGTGTTTCTCTCTCTACTTTCTGCTTCTTGCTGCTGCTGCTGCTGCTGCAGCTCCGGCTGCTGCTGCTCGCTCAGGTCTCTGCCCCCATTCTGTTCTGTCCTCTCATACCCATTTCTTGCCGCAAACCACTCGCCCTCACTCGTGCCATATGTCTTCTCCCGTTCCCTCTACCTCCCTTCACCTGAACCCCCCACTGCAACCCCATGCCGTCCCACCCCATCGCTCCTCTGGTGCGTCCATGCGTGCAGGCACAGCCGGTGCAGCGGGCAGTGCTGCGCATGCTTCTCTCTGACCTTCCTCCCTCTCTGCCTGTGCTGCTGCTCGCCTTCGCCAACTGCTCCCTGCACCAACTACCCTCCACCCTGCGCCGTCTCTTCTCCCTCCACATGTGAGGCTCGCTCCCTCGCTCTCTCTCTCGCTTCCTACCTCCCTCCTTCCCTCCCTTTCTGGCCTCTGCGCTCGCTTGTGCGTGGTAATGCATGCCGGAGTGCAGAGTGCAGGCGCGTGCTATGTGCGCGTTTGAGTAGTGTAGTGTCGCTTGACCCTTGCTCATGAAGCATACGCGCGTACGCATGAAACCTGAGCGTACGCGCGTTTCGGCCGGTGGCCTTTGAGTAGTGTCGCTTGACCCTTGCTCATGCCACCATCCCTAACTCCCATCCCTTTGTTCTCTCTCCCGCCCTCTTCACTCCCCATACCGTTGTCTGACAAATGGGCTTTAGTCCACCCTATATTCTACCTTATAAGCAAATCTACCTGCCACACCACCTCGCACCACCTCCCACGCAGCCACACCATTGAGTGCCTTCATTGGAATTTGATTTTTGAGTAAACTCAATAGACAAATTACCTCCCACTCCACCTCGCGTCACTCCCTTCTCTCTCATGCAGCCACACCATCAAGTGCCCCAATCGCTCCGAGCGCGTGTCGTTCTTTCGCCCACTTATCGAGTCAGCTGCAGCCACTGCCGCCGCTGCTGCAGCTGCAGCCACCGTTGCTGTCTCTGCTGTAGCTTCTGGTGATGCCGCTGCCACTGCCGCTGCTGCTGCTGAAACAGGCCTGGACCCTGCATACTCAACTCCACATGAAGGCGCCCACAACTTTCAGACAAATCCCGCAGCAACGCCCATGGCGTCACACGCATCAACAGCAGCAGCAGCAGCAGCGGCAGCAGCAGCTGCAGAAGCAGCAGCAGCAGAGGCAGCAGCCGAGGCATGGGGGATTAGCCAGTGCAGCAGCAGCAGCGGTGGGGATGGCAGGCCGGCAAAGAAACGCCGGGTGCTGCCGTCCCTGCCGCTCGCCCCTCCGCTGCAGCGCACGCAGACGGAGGCAGAGAAGGCGGCAGCAGAGGCAGCGGAGGAGCACTGCTTGCGGCGCCTGCGCATGTGCCTGCGGGACGTGTGCAACCGGCTGCTGTATGAGAGGCGCTTTGAGCCGTTTCACTACACCAGCTTGCACGTGAGCGGCAGCACTGGTGGGAGCCCTGGCGAAGAGGGGCACGATGAGGACGAGAGAGGGGGACGTGAGGAGGCCGCTGCTGCTGCTGCTCCTCACGCTGCTGCTCCCGCTGCTGCTGTTCCTGCTGCTGCTGCTGGGACTGGTGCGGGAGAGGAGGGAGCAGGAGCAGGAGCAGGAGCAGGAGCAGCAGGAGGAGCAACAGTAGGTGGCGAGCCGGGTGTGATGGACGTGGCAACGCTGCTGCAGCGAGTGGATGCAGGGTGCTACATGTGCCGCGAGCGCTTCCTCTCAGACGTGGACCGCATCCCTGCTTGCACTAAGGTGGGTGGGCAGGAGGGAGACAGGGAACATTGGGGATAGAGAGACGACTTTTGAGGTGCCTAAAAATAGCTTCTCTCTCCCTCTCAGACGTGGACCGCATCCCTGCTTGCACTAAGGTGGGTGGGCGGGATGTAGGGAGAGGGAGAGCGAGAGGGAGAGGGAGAGCGAGAGAGATACTTTTACACGCGGTTTACCATTGAGTGGATCCTCCTCCATCCTCTTGTTGACTGTTAATTGCACTTCTGGCTGCCTGCTCCTCTGTCCTCTCACCGCTCGCACTCACCCACATTCACTCTCTGCATCGCCTCGTCCCTCCCTCTTGCCTGTGTCCGCCTGCGTTCCTCTTCCCACCTGTTGTTATGCGCACGCATGCTTGTCTATGTGGGGTGTATTCACTCATGCGTGTGCGTGTGCGTGTGCATGTGCATGTGTGTGTGCATGTGCGTGTGCATGTATGCCGGTGTGGTGGGCATGTAAGCAGGCACTATACGGTGATGACTATCAAGGCACTCGTCTCTACAGCAAGGCCTGCGCTCTTAGAGACTCTGTAATCTCCTCAATTGCTTGCCCTTTTCCACTCTCTTTCCCCTTTCCCTTTCCTTTCCCTCTTCAGCTCCTTTTGCCGTTTCCCTATCTCTTGCTCTCCTTCTGCACTTCTCTCTTTTTCTCCCCCTCTTTTTGCCTTGCAGCCACATTTGCATAGTCCTGCCTCTTTTGCAATCCTGCTTCTCTTTCACCCCTGTCCTTCTCGTTCCCCAACAGGCTCATTTCATGATCTCCCAGATCGATCCCACACTAGCAGCAGCGTGCCTCGAAATCTCCAAGACCCGCCCGGCCCCTCCCATCCCGCCTCCCCTCCTAGCCTCGGCCACTCGCTCGCCCTCCTTCTCGCCCCCCTCCCCACCACATCCCCGCTTCTCCCATTGCAACGTCGCGCCGCGCTCGCTCTCGTTCGAAACACAAGCAGTGCGGAGGCACGAGCAGGACGAGCATGGCGGGCGTTGGCGTGAGAGCAGGGGTGGGTACGGCCGAGAGGGCCGAGAGGGGTCTATTGATGTGGGGCTCTTTTCGGGAGGAGATGGCGGAAGGAATGGAGCGGGCATGCGTCAGGAGCATGAGGAAACACATGGGCACGGGCATGGGCATGGGCATGGGCATGGGCATGGGTATGGGCGGGTGGATGGGCAGAGGAGGTACGGGGGGGAGAGGTACCACGACGGGGGCGGGGATGGGGAAGAGGGGGTGAGGGAAGGCGGAGGGACGGGGTCAGTGCCGTTTGTGCGGAGCAGTGCGAGGCTGAGAGGCGTGCGCGTGGAGGTGGACGTGCATCGGTCCCCGGAGCCCCACGGCCGACGACCCAGGCGAGGTGAGGAGGGGCAGTGGAGGAGAGGAGGAAGAGAGAGGGAGGGATCCGGTTAAAGTGGGCAGGAGATAGAAAGATTGTCGGATGGGATGGTGGAATGTGTTTTGTGTATTCTGTCGCCTCAACTGAGTCAATGCTGTGTTGGTGCGCGTGTATGCACGTGTGTGTGGGGGGGGCCCGGGGGTGGGGGGGGTAGGGTGGGGGTGGGTGGGTGATTGACTGACTGTTTTGGATGCTGGAACCACGCCTTAACCAATGGCGTTGCACCACACCACACCACACCACACAACACCACACCACACCACACCACACCACACCACACCACACCACACCACACCACACCACACCACACCACACCACATGATAAGCATGGTTGTAGCGCGAGCTGAAACTCTTGTTGTGCTGGACTCATTCTGTGTTTGTGCAGGGTCACGAGGAGAAACACCCACACCCGGGGAAGAAGAGGCAGCAGAAGCAGCAGACGCGGGTGGAGCATTGGGACGAGGTGGCAGTGGCGGAGGAGGAGGCGGCGGAGGTGGAATAGCGGAAGGGAATGGGGAGAGGCGGAAGGAGGGGGAAGAGGTGGCAGGAGGGGAGTTGCAGGCGAATGGTGCTGGGCATGCTGACGAAAGGGGAGATGGGATGGATGTTGAAGTGGAGAACGTGGGAGGACCGGGGGGGGTGCTGGAGGGCGGTGTGAGAGGAGAGGCTGGGAGCGGGGCGGGGAGGAGTGTGGGGGGTGAGAGGAGCGAAGAGGGTGGGCTGGGAGAAGGGTCGGTGGGAAGGGTTGGTGCTGGGGAGGGCAAGGTGGTTGAAGGGGGGAGAGGGAGGGACGGCGGGGGTGATGGGGAAGTGGGGGCTGGATGCAAGGTGGGCGTGGAAAAGGGGGAGGTAGGATCTGACAAGGTGAATGGGGATAGAGGCGGTGATTGGGGAAAGGGAAGTGAGGAGCGGGGAGGGAGGGAAGGGAGGGAAGGGAGGGAAGGGAGGGAAGGGAGGGAAGGGAGGGAAGAGAGGGAAGGGAGGGAAGGGAGGGAAGGGAGGCAAGAGAGGGGAGGGAGAGAAGCGAAGGTAGGGCGAGAAGGGAAGGAAGGGAAGGAAGGGAAGGAAGGGACGCGAGAGTTGGAAGGGCGAGAAGTTGATCTGGGCCGACAACAACAACTACTGGAAAGAAGGATCAAGGGGGATTTGGTAGCGGGTGAGCAGGAGGAAGAGGACAAGGAGGTGGAAGAGAAAGAAAAGGAGGTGGAGGCCATGCTGCTGGGACTGCAGCAGGGCCGAGTGCAATGGGAGCCACGGGACGGGGCAGCGGAGGAGGAGGACGATGGCAAGGTGGAGGGTGAGGGGCAGGGTGAGGGGGTTGCGCGGCAGAGTAGTTTGGAGGAGGGTGGAGGAGGGAAGGAGGAGCATGCAGGTGGTGGGAGTCCGATAGATGGCGTGGTGGTCTCGGTTGGGACGGATAAGGCGAGGGAGACTGCACAGGAGGCCATTCCGAAAGACGTGCGGGGTGGGACGGTGCTTGGGCAGAATGGGGAGACCGTGGGGAGGGGAAACGGGGAGGTGGAAGGGAAGGGGAATGGGGAGATTTTTGTGGGTGGAGGGTGTGGTGATGGGGTTGTGTATGGGAGCGGCAGCAGGGTGATTCACAACAGTTCTGGAGGAGGAGGAGGAGGAGGAGGAGATAAGGTGGGGAGAGAGGGAGGGGAGAGGGATGGGGCGAAGAGGAAGGCAGAGGGGGGAGAAGCGGGTGTGGAGGGTAGAGGGACTGGCGACGGGCAGAGTGGGTGGGAGAAGGAAGGGAGTGAAGGGGAAAGGGCAGGTGGGAAGAAACAGGTGGTGAAGGGGAGAGCGTCTGGCAAATGGTACGACGGGATGGGATTGCAGCACATGAGCAATCACAGGGCGGATGGACCCAACCAGAGTCATGGTGGTGGGAGAGATGCTGATGGGGAGAAGAGTGGGAGAGGTGGGGAGAATCGTGCGGAAGAAGGTGATGTGTTTCTGGTTGAAGGCAGGGGGCGAGATTTCAAGTCCGGGGGTTACAGCAAGAGGAAGAGGGCAGGTTGCGCGGATGTGGTGGTGCCTTTTGAGAAGCCTCAACTGGCGAGCAGGGTGGGATTGGATGGGAAGGAGGCAGGCACGGGCGCGATCAATGGAGTGGAGAGAGAGGAGAGGGTAGTGGGGGGAGAGAGAGGGAATGGCGTGGGTGATACCAGTTATGCAAGGGGAGGAAGGGAAGGCGAGGGTGGGGAGGTGCGTGGGGAGGTGTGTGGGGAGGGTGGGAAAGTCAGGGTTCAAGGAGGGGCTGGTGGTGGTGGTGGTGAGGTGGAGGGGTTTGGGAGGGGTGAGCATTGTAGGGTAGAATGTGATCGCAGCGGTGTGAGGGATGAGGTTGCTAGTCTGAGTGGATTTGGTAGGGCAAAGGAATCTCAAGAAGTACAGCAGCTTGACCAGAACCAGCAGCAGCAGCAGGGGATAGAACAGGAAAGTGGGGAGAGGGAAAAAGTCCATGCTGAGGGATGGGGAGAGGATGTGGAGACGGTACCAGATAGTTATGAGGATGTGGATGAGGAGGAAGAGGATGAAACGACCGGGGCTGGTCATAATGATGGTGGAAAGCAGGAGGGTCTTAGGACTGGATTCGGAGCAGAACAGTTAGCAGCACCTGCTGCTGTAGGGCTAGCGGGGTTACCACCTGGTAGCAGCGGTGGGGTTGCAAGCCGAGGCACTGGTGTTCTGAGCAACTGGACCAAGATTAGCAGTGCAGGCACATGTAACCATTCGGGTGGTCCTAGATACACAGAACCACCCAGTGATGCAGTAACAGCAAATGCTATAGGAGCAGACGAATTAGCACCTGATAGAGTAGGACGTAGTGATGCAGATGCATCTGATGCACCTCGGGGTGCAGAGGCGGTTTGTGGGATAAGCGGCGACAGCAGTGGTGGCGGTGCGATCAAGTTCAAGTCCTTGGGAGAGCTTACGAGAGATGAGAAGGGGAAGCGTGTTTCTATGCATGACGTGGCAAGGGAAAGAGTCAGAGTAGGGAGAGCTGGAGCAGAGGGAGGCACAGCAGCAGCGGCAGCAGGAGCAGCAGCAGGAGCAAGTGGAGCAGGATGTGTGCCAGGCATGAGTGCGTTGGGGGCAGCAGGAGTAGCGGGAGCAGCAAGTGTGCCAGTGGTGGCAGCAGCAGGTTCAGGCAGAGCGCCGTTGCATGATGGTGTTGGTGGTTCGGGTGTTGGTGCGGACACTTCTGGTCTGGGTGATGGGCCTGCGTCCTGCGCACCCAGGACTGTGAGATTTGATGAGGAGTGGCGGGAGGAGTGGGAAAAGGAGAAGAGAGCAGTTAAGGAAGTCATGGAGCAAGTGCTTTGTAGAGTAGCTGACAGGACTGATGGCTTGATGGTGAGTCAGTTGGAGGAAGTGTATCAGCGCATGTGTATGTTGCTGAGACGCAAGCGAGGTTGCAGGGATGGGGTGCAACTGTTACGTGACCTAGAGCGCGTTGTGGATTGAAGGGAACATGAATGAGTGGGATTGTACGGTATGCACGTTGATTCTATGCTGATGCAAATGTAATTCTCTTTCTAAAGTGATTCTGTGGTGGAGAATGCACATGGGTGCTTTATATTCAGTGGTGCGTGGTGCCAAATAATGATGCAATTGTGTGGTCCGCAAAAATTAAGAGGGTTTAAAACGCCAATTCAGGGGTGGCACCACCTGATGTACGGATACTTTTGTGTTAACATCCAGATGTATTCAATCGCATCGTATCCAGTTGCGAGACTGCTTGCATCCCATATTTTCTTTTTTGAAAGGGGGGAAACGAGGGAGCCGTTGGCTTATCCAATCAGCAACCAAATGCATCTGGTTGCTGTTTGTCGTATAGCAGTGATCTGGCTGGTCTTTCTGACAGGGATGATCATCTGTGCTAGGGGGGAGATACAGTTCTGGGTTGGGTCAGCCAAACAAGTACAGTACGTTTGTGTGAGTGGGTGTTGGTTTGTACAAGCTGCAATCAAAACACTACGTCGGCGGAATTTACGGGTCCCTTGGGATTCTCAGCCAAACCCCGCCACAGAATTTCCAAACTCGTGCCGCAGTTACTTGACAGGCGTGCGACAAACCTGGCGACTCAAACAAATCCGTCGCCGGATCCACTTACACTGATGGTTCACCCACAACTTCTGCGCGCGGAGGGGCATGGTACGGCGAACCGCGAGAAGGTTGCCAGGGCGGAACCTCCCTCCCGCTCGCTGCCCTCCTGACCAGCAGGTACGACTGTTCCACTCCCTCGAGCCAAACCAGTCGCACACAGCGATTCAGAAACATCGCGAACGGATACGCCAAATTCCCAACCACTGCAGGCTAACTGGCTGGCCCCAGTTTCATCTGACAATGTGCGCGCGTGCTCTCGCCTTACTGGTGGGCAGCAGGCCGAACCAGCAGTGCCCAGACAATCGCACTGCCCTTTTTTGGCCCCGATCAAATTGGGGAGTTGCAACCGCGCGCTGGCAGGATCCCGCGCGGAATGGTCTAGCTGTGGGAAAAGGGGGAGAAATCTTGTGGTGTGGGCGGGAACCAGAGGAGGGGGAGCTTCTGGGGAGAGTTGGCTGAGTGGCGGAGCGCGAATGCGGGGGCGGATTTGTGGGGGGCGATGGATTCAAGAATTTTGGCGGCTGAAAGCTACAGTTCCGGGCAGAGCGAAAAAAAGAAAAGAATCGTCCGGCCCAGCTCGGGATGGGAGGGAGTGAGAGCATGGAGAGAGGTGGTATGGTATGGTATCGCCCAACCACCAGTCTCCTCTCCGCCAGGCCTGTGCCAAAAGCAGGTGCTGCGGCACAGCAGTGCGGAAACCACATCTCGCATTCTTCCCCCCTCCTGCCTCCCACCTGTTTTCCCTCCATTTCCTTCCCCATCCTGATTCTCAAACCAACCCAACCTAACCCCGGCTTATCCAGCCTAACCCATCGCTATGAATCAACACAAATCATCCTGCTGCGATTGTGGTGCTGCCGAGCGCATCTAAAGGGCCGACGATCCATGGCACTACTTCTTGCGGATATCCTCGTGAATCGCCAAGACGTTGTTGATCATATGGCATAACCATCACATCGTCATCCATCCAGGCTTCCCCTATCTCCGTTTTCAAGCAATGCCATGCGTGCAACGCCGTAATTCTATTCCAATACTGCTGCTCCTTCCTATCAACCTCTCAATTTTCGCACATCCCGTGAGCTCGCCCTTGCAAGCTGATCAATCCTGGCCGTAAGGCTAAATTACCCGACCACCCGCTTCTCGTTAGGGTTCTTTCTCCGCGGGAGATTCACCACTCGGGACTGACTGACGGACCGAGAAGCCATGGCAGGCTGCGAGGGGCCCAGACATCGCCGTCGAAGCCGCAAATCGTGGCAGAACACCCATCACCTCGTCAATCAGACCATCTCAAGCGCAAACGCTCCATCTGCCGTGCCATCCGCCGGATCTTCCGCCCTGAGCTGCACGCTTTCGTCCGCCAATCACAAGCCTGCAGCGCCTCCGTCAATGGCATCAACACTCGGCTTCTCCGCCTCCGCCTCTGCCTCCGCCTCCTCCGCCGCTTCCTCCGCTCCTTCCTGTTCGTCTTGCTCCACTGCAACGCTTCCTGCGCTTGTTTGCTCCTCCTCTGCCGCCTCGCCTCCCTCTTCCTCCGCATCCGCTCCTTCCGCAGCCGGCCCAAGCGCAAGCACAGGCTCCGCCGCGTCTGGCGCAGCGACCTGGTCCAGCTCCGCATCGCCGTACATCCAAGCGAAGCACTATCAGGTGAGTCTTGCGCTCTCATCCCACGTCCGCTCTCACTCGCCCTCCCACCTGCACTTCCCCCCTCGGTACCACGGCTAGCGCCCTGTTGGAACCGTCTTGTGGATACCGTGGAGACAACAGCCATGCGGAATGGCAAAACGGCAACGATTTCCCTTGGCTCCACCGCTCGTTTTCTTCTAGTTACGCTGCACGCGAGCAGCGCGGGCCCCACTCCCACCCTGCGACTTCAGACCGCTCAGTCCGCTCTACTAGACTCGCCTGTTTATTCCCACATGCACCCTTCCTTCATGCTCACCGCACTCACCCATTTCCTGATACGGATTCGTGCTGCTTTTCTCGTCCGCTCGCCGTTTAAATGGCCCGCCTAGACTCCCGGGCCCAAGGCTGAAGAGAGTAATAGCCATGCGTTGGGGAGCAACGGCTGATGCAGACTCCGCCAGTGGCGCCGTGCAATGCGCTCTAGTGCCTCGTTGATGTTGGCACCGGGGGTGCTAGCTTGCTCCTCCCTTGCGCTTCTCACGTACTCCGTTACGGTCGCGTTTAGAGTCGTGGATGCCTCATTTCCTCCCCCAGTTAGCGTCCTTCTGCCCACTAATCCTATTTTTTCTGTCTTCCTGTCTCCCTCTACCCCCTGCTCCATCCCTCTCCTTACCTCCCTGCTCCCTTCTACCCTCTCCTACCCTCTCCTCCTTCTGCCCTATGCTCTCTCTGCTCCCTCTGCTCCCGCTCCTGCCGCGCGCTCTCCTCGCGTCGCCCTCGCTCAGCTCGTGGGCAAGGACCCGGACCGCGCCGTGCAGCTGTTCTCGCAGGCCATCGCGTCGGGCGACCGCGTGGACAGCGCGCTTAAAGACCTCGCGATCGTGCTCAAGCAGCAGAACAAGGCGGACGCCGCCATCGCCGCCGTGCAACAACTCCGCCACAAGTGCTCCGACGCGGCGCAGGAGAGCCTCGATAATATCCTATTGGATCTCTACAAGCGGTGCGGGCGCGTGGAGGATCAAATTGCGCTGCTGAAGCACAAGCTGGATCGTATCCGCCTCGGCGTCGCGTTCAACGGTCGGAAAACCAAGACGGCGCGGTCCCAGGGGCGGAAGTTCCAGGTTTCGCTGGAGCAGGAGGCGACGCGGCTGCTGGGGAACCTGGGGTGGGCGTACATGCAGTGTACTAACTACCAGGCGGCGGAATTCGTGTATAGGTAAGATGATGTGTGGTGGGGAGGGACGGGAGTGAAGGGGGAGAGAGGATGTGTATGTTTGGTGTGGGGCTGCGGACGTGTGTGAAGCTAGCTCGTTGTGTCGTCACCTCTCTTTCGTTGCCTTCCACTCTCTCATTATCTCACTCTATCCCTCTCGTCAGCCCCCAACCCCTGGCACGTTCTCACCTTGTTCCACCGTGTCCCCTTCTCCTCGCGTCTTCCCCCCGTTCCTCGCCTCCGCGCTCGCGCGCGCGCATCGCAGGAAGGCGCTGCGCATCGAGCGCGACAACAACAAGGTGTGCAACCTCGCGCTGTGCCTGCTGAAGCAGCGAAAGGTGCGCGAGGCCCGCCGCCTGCTGCTCTCCGTCACCGGACCCAGCGGCGCCAACGCTCACTCCCCCAGCAGCACCACCAGCACCATTAACCACGAAGATGTCGCTGCTGCTGTTGCTGAGTCGGCCGATGGTGCTGCGGATGCTGCTGCTGCTGCTGTTGTTTCGGAGGCTTGTGTGGAAGACTCAGCGGCGTTTGACGACAAGGCAGAGCCGCACACAGAGGACGGTGCCGGTGTGGCCGATGCGAGCAGAGGCGGTGGTAGCGGAAAGAGCAACGGCAGTAGCACCGGCAGCAGCACCAGCAGCAGCAGCGCTTCGGATTCCCATGTGAAGGTAATGTACTGAAATCCATTTCCCCTCTTCACCCAGTCGTAGAAGCTCGCGCGCTCTTCTATCTAATTTGGTGTTGAGTTATTGTTTTTATTGGGTGTTTTTTTTTTTCTTCTTACCTTTCTTTTCCTCGAGTGGTTGCATGTCTTGCTGACATGGCTTGTGACGCGTGTGATTGTTGCAGGCTCTGGATCGAGCGCGCGAGATGCTGCGACTGCTGGAAGACGACGCTGCGACAGGGCAGGCGGACGAGGAGGAAGAGCACGAGTCGCATGAGTCGCAGGAGGAGCGCGGCGGAGACGAGCAGGCTTCAGCAGGGAACGCAGCGAACGCAAGGAGCAAAAGGAACGGAGAGGAGAGTGGTTCGGACGGCGGTGGTGAGAGGCGGGGAGACGAAGGGGGTGCGGGAGAGGACGAGGGACGCACGGCGACTCTGCAGGAGCTGTTGGGCACGGACAGCGCGTGGGACTCGCTGCTGCCCCTCGGTCAGCCTCTTCAGCCCCCGCCCTCTGCTGCTCTCGCCTCTCCTGCTCCCGCCCTATCCCCGTCTTCTTCCCCTCCTCTTGCTGCTGCTGTTGCTGTTGTGGCTGGTCCTGGCGGAGACGAGAACGCGGGTCAGTGCACCCAAACCGCTGGTTCAGCGACGGAGGCGAGCAGTGAGCAGCTCAAGGGAAGGTCGCAGCCGCAGCAGCAGCAGCAGCAGCAGCACATGCAGTTGCAGGGGCAGCAAGGAGGTGGTGTTAGGGAAAGCAAGGCGGAGGAGTCAGACCAGGACAAGAAAGAGCACAGCAGTGCGCAGGCATGGAAGCAACACCAGCATCATCATCAGCAGCAGCCGCAGCAGTCACACTCACAGCAGCAGCAAGGAGGGGGAGGCGGTAGGCGAGGGAGCGGATGGGCATCGAGACGCGCTCCTCGCGCGTACAGCTGGAGTGCCGCCCACACATGCAGCAGCAGCGGTAACACCCCCTCTTCCACACCTGCTGCTGCAGCATCGTCTGGTGGCGTTGTCGCTGGTGTTCCCGTTTCTTCTCTCGGCTACATGATCCCGCCCATGCTTCCGCCCTCCATGCCGCTTGGCAGTGCTGCTGCTGCCGCCTCCCTGGGTTCCTCCATGCACCTAGTCATGCCCGCATCCCCAGCTGCCGCTGCTGCTGCAGCTGCGGCTGCTGCTGTGGCAGCTAACGCTGCTGCTGCTGCTGCCGCGGCTGCTGCGTCGGGTGCGCCCTGCCCCAGGTTCTACCTGCCGTACATGTCGCTCATGCCTGGCTTGTACGGTCCGTCTCAGTTTGGTGAGAACAACGGCATAGCCGCATCCCCTGCTGTTACGGCGGCTGCTGCCGCTGCTGCTTCATCTCATGTGTCGCTTGCCTATGCGCGGCAGCAGCAGCAGCAGCAGCAGCAACGCCAGCAGCAGCAGCAGCGGCAAGCACAAGCAGCAGCGGCGTCACTGCAAGACGGGGCAGCGAGTGGTGGTAAAGGAGTGCTTGCCTCCGCCACTGCAACCGGTGCCGGCAGAACCAGATGCCCCCAGCTTGGCAAGGCAGGGCCTTACAAGGCGAGAATGGCAGGTGGTGGTGTTGGTGGCGGCAGTAGCCTGAGTGGTGTTGGGCGCACAGCCTCTTCTCCACCCTGCCCCGGTGCATCGTCTGCTGCTGGCCTGACCTCCCCTCCTTCCGCTCACATGCCTTGGCACCTCAAGCAGCAGCAGCAGCAGTGGCAGCAGGAGATGGTGATGCAGCATGGTGGGAATGGCGGTGTATGGATGAATGGGTACGATTCATACGACTCCGACCTCATCTCGATGGGCCCAGTGGACGACATGTATGGTGTTTCCGAGGCCATGGGTCTAACATGTGGTGGTGACGACATGTTCATGTCGGCTGCATCATCAGAGTTCAACCACCCATGCCATCCGCATGTCGTGCAAGCAACCGCGCCTGCTGCTGCCCGGACTGTAACATTTGACCTGCCCGAGAGTCTGGACCTGGAGGAAGGCGAGGAGGAGAGGGAGGAGGCGGGGTCAGAGAGGCTGCTGGTGGCGGCGGCTGCGGCAGCGGAATGGAGGCAGACGAGGCTGGCAGGAATGGCCAGGTGCTCTGAGATGGCTCTGGGGCTGTATGAAGATGAAGACTATACGCCTTATGACGCCCATGCCCACGCCCAGGCCGCTGCTGCTGCGGCTGCCGCTGAGGCTGCAGCAGCAGCCGTCTCTGCTGCTGCTAATGCCGCTGTGGCTCCTGGTGCTGGTTCTTCTGGTGCTGGAGTTTCTGGTGGGGAGGATGTGTTTGCGTCTGATGGGCTGGAGGAAGGAGGTGGTTCCGGCCGCACGATCAGCAGCAGCAGCAGCGCCAGCAGTGCTAGCAGCTGTGGTCGCGGCCGGGATTGGATCTGCGGGCGTGGCGAGTGGGGTGATGAGTCGGATGATGATGAGGAGGGAGGATATGCAGATGCGGACGGCATTGCCGCCGCCTCTGCTGCTGCTTCTGCTGCTGCTGCCGCTACTACTTACGCTTCTGCTTACGGCATGTGTGGTGCGGGAGGGGCGGGCGTCCCTCGTTCAGTGTATGATATGTCAAGCCTTGCTGCTACCAAGACATTTGGCAGTGCCGCATACAACCCAGCTCAAGCTGGTGTCGCTAATTCCGCGGGGTTTTCGACTATGGCGGGCAAGTCAACCCCTGAATGTGGGCCAATTTCGCCTGAACTATGCTCCAAGCTTGGATGGTTCAACCAGGGAGTTTCCCCTGACAGCACGAGCAGCAGCAGCTGCCCTGGCAGTGGTCAAATGAGCCCGAACCTGCTGCCAGCAGGTTTGGAGCATGCAGGAGTTATTGTGCGGAAGGGTGGTAACATCGTCGTCGACGACCTGGAACAGCTTTGTCGCTCCACGGCGAAACTCGAATCGTCGGCACACGAGTTGACAGACTCCTGCTTCAGTTACAACTTCGAATCAGTGGAGAGTGTTGTTCGCAACATCATTTTCGAGTCTAAACCGGACGGCTTTGAACGTCCTGCCGCCAACAACCAGATTGGTTCGGCAGTCTTGTCTGAGAAAGATACCAATTGCGTGCTGACGTGGCGCGACGACTTGAACGGAGGTGGGTCCAGGCTGCCCGTTTTTGCCCGGCTTGCGAAATGAAGACCTGCTTTTCGTGCAACAAATACACTCGACCACATTCCTGCAGAATGTGAGCTGCCCTAAGGCAGTTGTACTTTGCAATCTCTAGGCCTTGTTCAGATGTGTTGTTTTTTTGGGGCAAGAATGAAGGCCTCTGACAATGCTATACTAGTATTTTATTTTCCTTTCCCTGTGAAACTGAGCTCTCACTTTTTATGGCCACCATGATTTTCTGATGCTGGCAATAGACAAAAAATCTGCAATTTGATACATTTCTCGACGTACAAAAGTAGACCATTCCTAAGACACAATAATGGACCAAGCATCCACAAAATCAGCATACTTTAGCATACCCTGGTGCTAGAGCTAGGCCCTTAGTCAGAGGTTAGAAGGTTGGATGAACACCCAAGGAGCAAATTTGAGCGGACAAGCTAGAAGCTTAAGCCTAGATAGCATTTGGTTCCATGGGGCGAAGGGACATGGTACAAGGACAAAAAATAGAGGGATAAGAATGGTGACGATGCTATTCATGCATGAGGAAGAACTAACCACTTCAGGCTCTACGAGGAGAACCTGTCGACAAGCCTATCTAACTCACATACAGCTTCACACCTGCATGAGCACGGACCATTTCAGGCAATTGCCTAAAGCTAGCAGGCAGCGAGCGCAGCATGGGACAGTGCAGCTTGAGCGTGTGCAGGGAGGTCAGGTTCCCAAACGACTCAGGCAGCTGAGACAACCGCCTGCTCTGCACCTCCAGAACCTGCAGCGCTGATAGGTTCCCGATAGACACGGGCAGCCATGCAAGATCCCGACAGGACGCCTCGATTCTGGTGAGGCTGGAAAGATCGCCAAAGGAGGCAGGCAGGCTGGTGAGGCCCGAGCAGTTCACGAGGGAGAGGGAGCGCAGCGAGGAGAGGTTTCCGAAAGTCTCTGGAATGGTGGATAGCTTTTCGCCGACGAGGGTCAGGGTTTCGAGCCCGGTCAGGTCGCCAAAGGACTCGGGCAGCGCGTAAACTTCCCGGCTGTCGAGCACGAGGCGGCGGAGCGAGGTGAGGAGGCCAAAGTCTTTTGGCAGCGGGCCGGCGAATTGCAGCTGGAGCTCCCGCAGGGAGGAGAGGGAGACAAAGGAGGCTGGGAGGGAGCGGAGGTAGGGGCAGACGAGGCGCAGCTCTTTGAGCTCTCTCAGCCAGCCGATGCGTGCCGGCAGCGCGTGGTGCGGGGAGGAGCGGGACGTATCGCAGTCGATTTCGAGTGCGTGGAGTGACTGCAGATCGCCGATTTCATCCGGGACGCGGTCGCACGGCATGGAGAGCACTCGCAGCTGCTGCAGCTGCCAGAGAGAGTCCGGGAGAGGAGGGTTGGAGCGGCAGCCGTCGAGACGCAACTGGCGAAGGCTGGTCAGGTCCCCGAGCTCCTGAGGTAACACCTCGAGAACCTCGCTGAGTAGCCGGAGCACTTCGAGCCGGCGCAGGCGGCCGATGGAGGCTGGGATGGCTCGGAACGACCCGCGCACGTCCAGATGGACGAGGTTCGGCAGGCTGCCGATAGCCTCGGGGAGCGAGCGCAGGTGGCCTTTAGCTCCGGAGATGTCCAGGCGAGTGAGCGCAGAGAGGTGCTGAATGTCCCCAGAGACGGTCCAGACGTTCTTGAGAGTGAGGCGGCGGATGGAAGGAAAGTCGACGATGGATGGCGGGACGGATGAGCCAAAGGCCTCGAGCTCCCGCGTGCGCTTGGTCTCCCAGACCACCTCGTGCAGCGAGCGGATGAGACCGGCGGACGGTGGCAGGTCTACGAGCTCGGAGCAGCGGAGGTCGAGGATTTGGAGACTGGCTAGCTCGCCGAGGCAGTTGGGGAGGAGAGCAAGGCCCTTCCAGCCCACCAGGCGCAGCACTCGGAGGGAAGTGAGGGACCAGAGAGAGGGGGGGACGCATGCAGGGTAGGTGAAGGCGAGCTCGAGGGAGCGGAGGGCGGAGAGGCGGTCGATGGAGTCAGGGAGGCGGACGTGGTGGCGGCCGTTGTGGAAGCTGAGGACTAGGGTTTGCAGGTGGATGAGGTCGCCTAAGGCTTCTGGGAGGAAGGTTATGCCGTCGGCGGCTGTGGTGTTTGGGTCGGTTTGAGGCGGTGGTGTGTGGTGGGATGAGAGCGAGGCTGCGGCGGAGGCGGCGGAGGAAAGGACTGCGGAGAGAGCGGTGGAGGATGCTACTGCTGCTGCTGCTGCGACGGCGACAGCTGTGCCAGCGGAGAGAGGGAGAGAGGAAAGGGAGGCAGCGGTTAAAGATGATGAATCAGCACTGATGGAGTCGATAGCAGTGTCTGCTGCTGCTGCTGTTGCTCCTCGACCACCAGCAGCAGCTGCCAATAAATCACTGATGCTGCCCCTGCTGCCACTGCGCACCATACTGATACTGCCGCCACTGCTGCTGCCATTACCAGCGCCACTGCCACCACCATTACCGCCACCGCTGCTGCTGCTGCTGCTGCTGCTACCGTTGCCCTTCACCTGAATTCTCTGAAACGCCTCCAACCGCAAGTCAACGAGGTTCGTGCACCCTGAGAACAGCAGCGCGAGCCCCGACTCCCGAAACGAATACCCCAGCTCAGGGTCACCGCCAATCGACAAGTGCCGGAGGTCCGGACAAGAATACCCAATGGTGCACAGCAGATCGTTGGTAACCGGCTGGTCGAGACTCATCCCGGGGATATCCAGGGCGGTGAGATTCGGGCAGTGCGAGAGCGCCCGGATCAGCCCGTTTGTGTTGACTCTCCGGCCCCGGTGTAGGCGCAGGGAGCGTAGCCCGTAGTAGGCTGCTGCGCGCCAGGGCTTGCACGCGAGGGAGAAGGAGAGCCAGTCGCGGGGGGAGTCGATGGTTGAGAGGATGCAGAGGAGCAGGCGGCGGTCCAGGCCGCCGAAGCCGAGCGCGCGCTGCTGCTGGTGCTCGTGCTCCTGCGCTGCGGTCAGGAGGGCTGCTGCGTGCGCGAGAGAGTCGGGGGACGGCGGAACGATCATGGGTATGTCTGCTGGGGATGTGGGGGGGAACAGGGGAGCGAGGGGAGAGGTGCGAGGGAAATGGTGAGGAGAAAGATGGGATGATGGGCTTGCATGAGTGAACGCAGTGAAGGGAGGGAGGGACGGAGCGAGGGAGCAAGGGAGGGAGGGAGGGAGGGAGGGAGGGAGGGAGGGAGGGAGGGAGGGAGGGAGGGAGGGAGGGAGGGAGGGAGGGAGGGAGGGAGGGAGGGAGGGAGGGAGGGAGGGAGGGAGGGAGGGAGGGAGGGAGGGAAAGAGGGAGGGAGGGAGGGAGGGAGGGAGGGAGGGAGGGAGGGAGGGAGGGAGGGAGGGAGGGAGGGAGGGAGGGAGGGAGGGAGGGAGGGAGGGAGGGAGGGAGGGAGGGAGGGAGGGAGGGAGGGAGGGAGGGAGGAGGGAGGGAGGGAGGGAGGGAGGGAGGGAGGGAGGGAGGAGGAGGGAGGGAGGGAGGGAGGGAGGGAGGGAGGGAGGGAGGGAGGGAGGGAGGGAGGGAGGGAGGGAGGGAGGGAGGGAGGGAGGGAGGGAGGGAGGGAGGGAGGGAGGGAGGGAGGGAGGGAGGGAGGGGTCCGTACCATGGCGAATGAAGGGGCGGAATTCCCTCTCAGTGATGGCAGGGCTGCGGTTGGTGAGCAGCATGAACGCCTGCGAGCCCTCCGTGGTCAGCCCATCACTCGCACTCGCGCTGCTGCTCTCCCCACCACCAGCACCTATCCCTGCCGCAGTGCCCTTGCCTGAGTCCCTCGCACTGCCGCTGCTCGTCTCCTCCGCTCTCCCCCCACCCCTCCCTTGCTGCTGCTGCTGCTGCTGCTGCTCGTGCTGCTGATGCAGCAGCTGCTCATTCTTCCCAGAAGGTACCATTTCATCCAAGCACAGGTCAACAAACGAGTCTAGCTCCATAGCGCCATTACCAGCAGCGCTGGGACCCACGCTGCTGTTACTGCCACCACCAGTGGCAGCAGAACCATTGGGAGTCCCTCCCCTGCTGCTGCTACTACCAGCTGCAGCAGCGGCAGCGGCGGCAGCAGAGGCAGCAGAACCGCTGATGCTACCCTGTGATATGCTGGCAGCTGGGGAGTGATCAGCAAGAAGCATAGGAGGAGAGGCGTAGTCTTCTTGGTAAATGCCTCTTCTTCTCAGCTCTGCCCACGGGATCTCTAGGAGAGAGAGCGAGTCTATAGCACTATGCACTACCCCGTCACTGTCACTGCGGTGAGCCGCACCCGCAGCAGCAGCAGCAGCAGAATAAGGAGAGGCAGCAGCAGAGGCGGATCGGCTCGGGCTAGGGCTGAGCAATGAATTGGGCCCGCCCGCTGCTGCTGCACTGCTGGTGGCGGCAGCCGCCGCGGCTGCAGCAGCTGACCGAGCGGCAGCGGCAGAGGCGGCCGAGCCGTCACTGAGAGGCATGGTGGCGGCAACAGCGGCGGCTGTAGCAGCAGCAGTGACCATCGCGGCGAAGTCCGATGCCATACCCTCCTCCTCCTCCTCCGCCTCCATAGCTCTTGACTGCTCTTCTCCTCCTTCTCCACCTCCTCCTGTGCTTCCTGCTGCTGCTGCCGCTGCCTTTTTCCTGGTACCCTTCCCTCCTGCTGCTTTCTGTGCGGGTTTCTTTGTCTTCTTTTGCAGAGTGGTAGTCGCAGCAGCAGAAGTAGATGCAGCAGAAGCAGCAGCAGCTGGGGCAGGCAAGCCGTTCCGTACAGCCGCATCTTTCACCTTAGCAGACGCTTTCTTTGTACCTGACAACGCCTTTTTCCCCACCTTCTCCTTCGCAGAACCACCAGCAGCACCTGCTGCTGCAGCAGCTGCTGCCCTCTTTGCCAGAGCCTTTTCAGGAGAGGCTGCCTTCCCTCCAGCCTTGCCCTTCCCCTCCTGCCCACCAACACTCTTCTTCCCTGCCCCTCTCTCCTGCTCCTGCAGCTGCTGCTCCTGCTGCTGCTGCTGCTGCTGCTGCTGCTGCTTCTGTTGCTGTTTCTGCAGCTTAGGCTTGTGCTGCGCAACAGACCCCTCCAGCAGCAGCGTCTCCTCCTCCTCCCACGGGTTGTACGGGCTCAGGCGCGGGGTTGACGCACCGTCAGCAGGCATCAACTGGGAGTAGTAGTCCGGGTCATTTCCAGGCTCATTCCCTCCCTGAGCCTGCATGCCCGTGCCTCCCACTCCTCCACTTCCTGCCCCTGCTGCTGCCCCTGCTGCTGCCCCTGCTGCTGCCCCTGCTGCTGCCCCTGCTGCTGCCCCTGCGGCTGCCCCTGATACTGCTCCTGGTCCTGCCCCAGCAGCCTTGCCCTTCTGTTTTTTCGTCCCCACCTTGCCTGCCTTCTTTCCCTGCACCCCTGTCTTCCCTGGGTCACCCTTATCAGCAGCAGAGCCAGTCGCAGCAGCAGCAGCAGCAGCAGCAGCAGCAGCTGCCGCCTTCTTTGCACCTGGCTGTTTGGCTGAAGGCTTCTGCTTGGGCTGTACTCCTTGCTTCTTGCTTGCCTGCACCTGCTGCTGCTGCTGCGGTTGTTGCTGCTGATCCTGCTCTTGCTGCTGCTGGAGCTGCTGCTGCTGCTGCTGTGCCTGCTGCAGCTGTTTCTGTTGCTGCTGTTGTCGCTTGGGAGGGGTCTTCCTTCGGGCCGGCTGTTGCTGCTGCTGAGTGGGTGGAGGAGATGGTTTCAAAAGCATTCTCTGCTGCTGCCCCTGCCCTTGCTGATGCTGCTGTTGCTGCCCCTGCTGTCCCTGCCCCTGCTGCTGCTGCTGCTGCTGCTGCTGCTGCTGCTGCTGCTGCTGCTGCTGCTGCTGCTGCTGCTGCTGCTGCTGCTGCTGCTGCTGCTGTTGCCATGCAGCGTTAGGCAAAGAATGCCCCACAGCACCAGCAGCAGCAGCAGCAGCAGCAGAGGAAGCAGCAGCAGGTGGCATGGGCCGAGGAGACACCCACTGGTTGTCGAAACCAGACCCTCCCGTTCCATACCCCCCTCCCTCTTGCCCCTCTAGCCCTTCCTGCCCATACCCCCCTTCTTCCCCCCCATAACCTTCCCCTCCATCCATCCCCATGCCACCCTCACCCCCCATCCCTTCTTCTCCATAATACCCCTCCTCGCCCTCCTCTCCCTCCTCGAGGTCCCCTCCAGCGACCCCGTTCCCTCCATCCTCTCCCTCGCCGTACCCTCCCTCCTCGTACCCCCCATCCCCATACCCTCCCTCCTCGCCCGCCTCCTCCGCCTCCTCCTCCTCCTCTCCCTCCTCGCCTTCCTCATCCTCCCCTTCGCCCTCCACCTCGCCCTCCTCCACCTGTCGCCCGTCAAACTCCCCTGCAGAGAACAGCCCTGGGGTTTGATCATCATCCTCCTCTTCTAATAGAGCATCTTCATCCACCTCAGGAACAGGCCCTAGCTCCGCCCCCACGCCAATGCTCGTGAAACCCACATCCTCATACCCCCCCATCATGCCATACCCGCCCCCATGCCCGTACTCCTCCTCCTCCTCGTCCTCCCCATACTCCTCCCCGTGGCCCGCAGAAGGAAACGCAAACCCTCCTCCTGCTCTTCCTCCTCCCATGCCACCTGCAGGTCCCCGAATGGATGTGACTCTATCAAAGGAGATTGCAGGCATGTCATTAGGATCGTCTGGAGGAGCCATAGGCAGCCCCTCCGCGCGCAGAGTCGGCATCTTATGCTCGATATACGCACTCTCCGCATAAGAATCATCCTCCAACCCGCCGCCCAGACCGCCACCCAGTGATATCGGAGATTCCAAGGGACCTCCGCCAATAGGAGACCCCAGGGGACTCCCCATCCCTCCCCCTCCTCCTCCTTCCCCTCCAGGCATCACCCCCAAGCTTATCGGCGATCCTAACCCACCACCTCCAAACCCCACAGGGGAGCCTAATGCTCCGTTTCCCCCATATCCCCCCCCAATACCTCCCATGGGTGATCCCAATCCCCCATCTGCCCATCCACCTCCCATCCCCCCATCCATACCCCCATAACCCCCGTCACCCCCACTCCCCATGCCCCCCATCCCCCCTGCGCCTTCCACATACTCTACCCCCATTATCCCTCTCTGCCCGTGTCTACTCAGTGGCCTATCCACCCCCTCCCCGCTGAGTGGGCTGCGTGGGGTCAGTGGGCTGAGCGGGCGGCCAAACTCGTCATATTCTGCCGCCCCATGCCGACTGACAGGCCGCTCTAGGTCCGACCCCCCGTGGGAAGCACCTGAAAAGCCCCGGCTCATCTGCCGGCTCGTTGGCCGCTCCATATCCCTCCCCACCCCTCCAAACCGCGGGGACGGCTGCCCGTAGAACCCAAACGCAGCGTATCCTTCCTCCCCCACCTCCACCCCTCCTCTCCCCCCTCCTGCTCCCACCGCCCCTGGTCCCCCGCCTCCTGTTCCTGCCGGCCCTGCCGCCCCTCTTCGAGACATGCGGCTGGATGGGCGGCTGTCTGACTCAGCATAAGACACCCTACTGGGCGGCCGGCTGTCTGTATCATCCTGGTACGAGACACGGCTAGGGGGGCGGTCGGAGGAGCGAGACGAGTCTGGGCGGGCAATCCTAAGTCCCTGCCCCAACTGCTGCTGCTGCTGCTGTTGCTGCTGGTGCTGCTGCAGCTCCTGCAGCTGCTGCTGCTGCTCTCGGTGCAATGCCATGGCATACTCATGCGGACTAGTAGGCGTCAGCGGCTCCTGAAACCCATACCCGCCACCATACCCATCCCCGCCGCCATTCTCCCCATACTGCCCCTCCCACTGCCCGCCCTCGCCCCCTGCCATCCCCTGCTGCCCATCAAACCCCCCCTCCACACCCTCCTCTCCATATCCCCCTCCCACCCCCTCTTCGTGATATGGGCTGCCTGGCGGTTCCATATGATACGGGCTTCCCACCCTCTGCTCATACTCACTCCCGTACTGCTGCTGCTGCTGGTGCGGCTGCTGGTGGTACGGACTCCCAAGCCGTTCCTCGTGGTAAGGACTCCCAAGCCTTTCCTCATGGTAGGGACTTCCAGGGGCGTTCCTCGCCCCGTGCAACCCCCCCATCCCGTTCTGCTGCTGCTGCTGCTGCTGCTGCTGCTGCTGCTGCTGCTGCTGCTGCTGCTGCTGCTGGTGATACGGGCTTCCCAGCCGTTCCCCATAGTACGCACCACCGCCACTGCCACCGCCCCCTCCCGCGCCCCCTTCCTGGTGGTACGGGCTCCCAGGGGGCTGCTCGTGGTGGTACGGGCTGCCTGCAGCCTGCTCATGGTGATAAGGGCTCCCAGGCGCTTGCTCATGATGGTACGGGCTCCCAGGGGCCTGCATGGCGCCGTACGGACTACCAGGCCTGTCCCCCTGAAGCGGACTCATCGGCCTCTGCTGCTGCTGCTGCTGGTCGGGGAAGGGGCTGAGGGGTGCCTGGGGTGTGTATGGACTCATCTCCCCGTCGCCGTATCCCGGCTCGCCACCATACGCCTGCTCCCCTTCATACCCATGGCCGGCCCCACCGCCGCCGCCGCCGTCAGGGTACCCGTATGGGCTGAGTTGCCCTTCCTCATACTGCCCTTCCCCGTACTGCCCACCACCACCACCACCACCACCACCACCACCACCACCACCACCACCACCACCACCACCACCACCGCCGCCACCATCCCCAAACGGACTCATCATGCCGCCATCCTCGGGGTACGGGGTCATGCCCGCGCCCTCCCCATACTCCTGCTGCTCCTCCCCGTCTCCCCCCAGCTGCTGCTGCTGCTGCTGCTGCTGGTCGAGGTAAAGGGCGCCAGGGTAGGGGCTATCCGGGTAATGCCCGTCAGGAAGAGGGCTCATGGGATTGCCATCAGGATAGGGGCTCATCTGCCCTTCCTCGTACCCTTGACCCTCCGCATACCCTTGCCCATCCCCATACCCCTGTCCTTCTGCATACCCTTGCCCATCCCCATACCCCTGCCCCTCGTCATACCCCTGCCCGTCCCCGTATTGCTCCCCAGCATCATACCCCTGCCCGTCCGCATACGGGCTCATAGGCCGCTCGTCAGGATAGGGACTCCCGAGTATGTTCATGGGATACGGGCTACCCGGCGGCCTACCATAGTACCCTCCTCCTCCTCCCCCTCCCCCTCCTCCTCCCCCCTCTCCCCCTCCGTCTCCTGCCCCGTTCAGCCGCACATGCTCCTCGTAGTAACGCCCGTCACGGGAATATCCACCGCCCTCCCCTTCTCCCACCCCACCTGCTCCCCCGTACGCTCCCTGCAAGCCTGCCTGGTCCCGTTCTCCCATGTACCCATCCTCCTCCTGCTGCCCCTGCATCATACCATATGCACCATCACCACCCCCCATATACTGCCCATCAGCATCAGCACCAGCACCAGCAGCAGCACCACCGTCACCACCACCTGCACCATCTCCTCCTTCCCCGTCATAGTACCCGGCCTGATCCTCATGGTATTCCCCTTCTGGATACTCCCCCCCTTCATGGTACCCCTCTTCCCCATGATACGCCCCATCTTGGTATCCCTCCTCTGGGTATTCTCCTCCTTGGTAGCCCTCATGGTATTCTCCAGGCCCCTCGGGTCCTCCATACTGTCCCTCGTATTGCTCCGCACCCTGGCCGTTTTCTTGGTACTGCTGCTCGCCTTCGTTATACTGCTCCCCTTCGACATACTGCTCCCCTTCGACATACTGCTCCCCTTCGACATACTGCTCCCCTTCGACATACTGCTCCCCTTCGTTACACTGCTCACCCTCGTTATACTGCTCACCCTCGTTATATTCCCCTTCATTATAATGCTCACCTTCGTTATACTGCCCCTCCCCATTATACTGCTCACCGTCGTGCCCCATATACTGCCCATGCTCCGGCCCATACCCCTGTTGCCCCTCAATCTCCCCATACCCATCACCCGCCATGCCACCACCAAACTCCCCTCCTGGCCCCATGCCTGAGTTCGCACCCATGTGTGCTATAGGGCTGCCTAAACCCATCCCAACGCCACCACCACCATCACCATCGCCCCCATCCCCTGCATAACCTCCCTCACCCTCATAACCACCCTCTCCTTCGTATCCCCCCTCTCCCTCATACTGCTGCTCCTGATCATGATACTCTGCCTCTCCCTCCCCATATCCCTGCCCCTCCTCCCCATGTGCCTCCATGCCTTCCCCATACCCCTCTCCCTCCCCATACCCCTCTCCCTCCCCATACCCCTCTCCCTCCCCATACCCCTCTCCCTCCCCATACCCCCCTCCTTCCCCATACACCTCCCCACCATCATAACCATCCCCTGCGCCACCCTCCCCTCCCCCCTCTGCATACTGCTCCTCCTCTGCATACCCCATGTCATCATGCCCCTCCTCCCCATGAAACCCCATGCCCGCCCCACCTTCACCCCCATCCCCTCCATACTCACCTTCCACATACCCGTCCCCCTGGTTATACCCCTCCTCTGCTTCCTCATACTGTTCACCCTCGTGATACTGTTCACCCTCCTGGTACTGTTCATCCCCCTGATACTGTTCACCCTCCTGATACTGTTCACCCTCGTGATACTGTTCACCCTCCTGGTACTGTTCATCCCCCTGATATTGTTCACCCTCCTGATACTGTTCGTCCCCCTGATACTGTTCACCCTCCTGATACTGTTCGCCCCCCTGATACTCTTCCTCTTCCTGCAGCATCTCTCCCCCATGATACTCCCCCTCCTGCCCATACTCCCCCTCTTGCCCATACCCCTCCTCCTGCCCACCAGCACCCCCATACTCATCCTCCCCATACCCCTCTCCTTGCATGCCGCCCTCCTCAAACTGCCCATCCTCATTCCCATCACCGCCATACCCCTCCTCTGCTTCTCCTCCATACCCTCCTCTCTGCTGCTCGTCTGGGGGATACTGCTCATCAGGAGGGTACTGCCCGTCATATCCCTCAGCATCTGGCGGGTACTGTTCTTCTGGCGGGTATTGTTCCTCTGGCGGGTACTGTCCCTCCCCAGGATACTGCTCTTCTTCTCCGTATCCCTCACCACCTTCCCCATACTCCCCTTCCTCTCCTTCCTCTCCTTCATACCCTTGCCCATGCACCCTCCCTTGCTCCTCCTCGTATTCCCCTTCCTCTCCATACAGCCCCTCCTCTTCACCAAAGCCCTCCCCCTGCTCTTCGAACCCTGCCTGGTCCTGATCATACCCCTCCTGCTCCTGATACTCCCCCTGTTCTGCCCCCTCCATGTGCCCATACTCCCCCTCATCATATCCCTCCTCCCCTTCAATCATCTCGCCCCCTTCCCCTCCCCCATACATCTCCCCATCTTCCCCCTCTCCATACATCTCCTCGTTCCCTTGCCCCATCCCTCCCTCATGCCCCTCCTGTCCATACATGTCATCACTCCCTTCAACAATCCCTTCCCTCATCTCCCCTTCCTCTCCAATACCCTCCTCGTCCTCATACCCCTCTCCTCTCTGCTGCCCTTCCTCCCCATACTCCCTCTCTCCATACCCATCCTCATCATACGCCCCCTCCTCATCCTCATACCTTTCACTTCCATCCATCCGCCCTTCCTCGCCCTCAAAACGCTCCCCTTCGTCTTCAAACCCACCCGCCTCCTCTCCTTCATACTCCCCCCTCGGGTACCCATCCCCCTCTTCATACATATCGTCCTCCCTCCCATACTCCTCCTCGCCCTGCTCCCCATCCCTGCGCTCCCCTCCCTCATAATACCCCTCCTCTTCTTCCTCCTCGCCTTCCCCTTCGCCTTCACCCCTTTGATCACCACTCCTCCCACTTTCGTCTCCCTCCTCCTCCCCATATTCCCTAACCTCATCCTCCTCCACCATCCCCTCACGGTCTTCTCCCTCCTCCCTCTCATCCTCCCCTCTCTCCTCCTCCTCATCCACTTCCTCCTCCTCATCCTCCTCCTGCACATCTCCAGCCCCCCACTCCTCCGGCTCTTCAACAAACCTCACCCGCGTCACACGTGGTGTGCCCCCTACCGCCTTCCCCTCCGTCCCCCTTCCCACTTTCTTCTCCTCCTCCTGCAGCCGTGCAAACGCCCCTGCCAGCCCCCCATCCATCGGAAACCCCCCTGCCAGGCCCCCACCGCCCTTCCCTCCTGCATCATTCTGCATGCTCAGAAGCCCGGCTAGAGGGCCACTGTCGGGAGAATCCGGGGCATCCTGGGGCGGCTTTGGCAGAGCACTGCTGTTGGGGCCGAGGAGGGCAGCACTGGCGGCTAGCAGCTCACCAAAGCCACCAGCCAAGCCAGCAGGAGCGTTCTCTGAGAGCGGCAGGCCTCCATCCCCCCCCATCAGCATGCCCATGCCCATGCCCATGCCCCCAGGAGGCCCTGAGCCTTGGAAGTTCAACAGCTGATCCAACAGCCCAAACCCTCCTCCCGCTCCCCCCCCATCCTCCTCCTCCTCTTCCTCTTCGTCTCGTGCGCGCACCTCTCCCCCCATCAAACTATCATCATCATCATCATCATCATCATCATCATCATCATCCTCATCCTCATCATCATCGCGCTCTGCCGTGCCAGGCACAACGGGCTTCTTCTCCCGCATCAGCTGTAGCACGTTCTCCGGCAGCTTCCGATTCTCCACGCCCACATCCTCCCCTCCCACTGCTGCTGCCTCGCCCGCTCCGCCCGCCCTCCCACCTCCCGGGGACGAGGGGAGTGTGTTGGGGGAGTGCGAGGCTGGGGACGGAAAGGACGGATCGGACATGCCAAAAGGGCTTCCCATGGCTGATAACGGGCTGTTCAGAGGGCTACCCAGCATGCCCATACCCATGCCCATGCCCATGCCCATGCCCATGCCCATGCCCATGCCCATGCCCATGCCCATGCCCATGCCTGCTCCCAGCCCCATGCCCATGCCTTCTTGCAGCAAGCTTCCCATCCCCGTTGCAGGCACGCCCAACCCGTTCCCATGCTCCTGCAGCTGGTTTAGTTTATCCAGGAATGACAAACCCACCTCATCCTGCTCTTCCTCCTCCTCTTCCTCCTCCTTCTCTGCCTGCTCCCTTTGCTGCTTTCCCCTCTCCTGCCCACCGGGATCCTCGCCTTCACTCCCTTCGTCTCCACTTTCCCCCTCCTCAGCCTCTTCATGAATCTTTAGGCCGCCACGAGCACCACCAGCAGCACCAGCAGCAGCAGCAGAACCACCACCAGCAGCAGCAGAAAGAGCACCTAACTCTCCAATCCCCCCCCCACCACCCACAGCAGCCACTCCGCCCCTCCCCTGCATGGATTGAAACGCCTTCCACAGGTCGCCCACTGATTCGTCCACGTGTTGGCCCAGGGGGATATTCGCCATGTCAGCAGGCAGATCAAAAAGTGCAAACCCCGCTCGCCCCTCCTTCTCCCCCTCTCCTCCCTCTCCACCCCCTTCCACTGCCCCTGTCGCTCTGTCCCTCGCCTTTCCCATTCCTGCTCCACCCTTCCCACCAGCATTTGTGGCAACAGACGCTTCACCCGCTGCTCCCAATGCTGCAGCTGCTCCTGCTCCAGCACCTGCTGCTGTTGCTGCTGCTTCTTTAGCACCCGATGGTGCAACACCTGGTTTCGACCCCGATTCAGCAGCAGCAGCAGCAGCAGCACCAGATTGCATGGCACGAAACGCCTTCTCGAGGTCCCCGACCGAGTAGTCAACTGGCTGGCCTTGGGGCAAGCCTTGCGGCATGCCTAAGGGCAACCCCGCTGGAAGGTTGAACAGTGCAAACCCATCCCTTCCGCCCTCACCTTCCCCTCCATCTCCTCCCTCTCCTTCCTCTCGTCCCTGTGACACAGGTGATGCTTCACCACTGCTGGCCCGCCCTCTCACAAGCACACCATTACCATCACCACCACCATCACCACCCTCATCCTCATCCTCATCCCCAAAAGAGCCTCTCCTCCTGCTGCGGCGCTCTCCATGCCCCCTATACCCATTACCATCTCCCTCATACTCACCCCCCTCCTCCTCCTCCTCGTCTCCATACTCATACTCATTCTCTCTCCCAAACCGGCCCTCTCGCTCGTACCGGCCATCCCTCTCATACTCCAAGTCTTCCGATCCTGACCCATACATGTCCTGCTCTCTCTCTCTCTCCCCGCCTCCCCGCTCGTCCCAGCTCCCACTGCCATTGAAACTCCCCGAACCCCTCCATGACCTCCTCTCTCTCCTCGCACCTTCCTCCCCATAACCCTGCTCCTCATACTCTTCCTCCTCCTCCACCACCTCCCCTCCTGCATGCTCCTCCTCCTCCTCTACCTCCGATTTTTCTTCCCCCACTGCAAACCTCGCTGCCCTGTTGCTCCCGTCTCTCCCCTCCCCGTCACTCTCTCCCTCACCATACTCCCTTTCTTCCTCCCCATCCACAACATACTCTCCCTCCTCTCCCTCCTCCCCCTCCCCTCTCTCCTCTCTCGCCTCTTGCTCCTCGTCACTCTCCCTGCCATCCCCTCCTTCCACCACACTCCCTCCTTCCACCACACTCCCTCCCCCGCCAGAGTCCAACCCCCCATCCTCACTACCCCCTTCCTCCCACCCAGCCCCCACCTCATACACCCGCACAGAACCCTTTTCTCCATCCCCTGCCAACCCACCCACTTCCCCCTCTCCCTCCCCCTCCACCTCCCCATCCCTCCCTTCCTCTTCCTCGTCTGAATAATCCTCGGACCCTCCCCGCCCGTTCATACCCCCGCTTCCAGGCAAGATCTCTCCGTTGACTCGCTTGACCATGCCTTGTCCGCTCTTACCTCTCGCCCCTGCATCAAACCCCTCTTTCCCACCTCTCTCCACCCCCTCATAATCCTCCTCCCGTCCATCATCTGACCTTTCTCCCTCACTCCACCGCTCCTCCCCGTCTTCGCTCTCTGCGTGTCTTCCTCTCCTTTCACCCTCTCCCTCCCCTTCCCGCTCCCCCTCTCCCTCTCCCTCTTCTCGCCACTTCTCCCTCTCCTCATCACTCCATCCCTCCCCTTCCTCCCTCTCGTACCTGTCACCGTCGCTCCCCTCGTCTCCGTCCCCTCTCCTCCCGTTCCACTTCTCCCCCTCCTCGTCACTCCACACCTCCCTCTCCTCCCGATCCCACACCTCCTCCCCTTCACCATCCAAACGCCCTTCCCCTTCGTGCTGCTTCTCACTCCCATCGTCCCTCCAGCCATCCTCCTCCTTATCCGACCCCCCACCTCCTCTACCATCATCGCTTCTCTCATACTCTTCCTCCGCTCTCCCCTCGACTCGCAAACCTACCTCTTCCCTTCCCTCTCCCTCCTCCTCATGCCCTTCTCCCTCCAGCCGCCCCTCTTGTTCTCCATCCAGGGAACGCCTAAGCTCCTCCTCTCCAATATCACCATCTGCATCCCCATCAACATCCACAACCCCCTCCCCATCCTCCCCATACTCCTGCTCCTGCTCCCCATACCCATCACCCGCCCCATACCCATCCTCCTCCTCTTCATCCCCATACATGTCCCTTTCATGCCCATCACCATAACCATCTTCATCATACTCATCTTTATCCTCTTCACCATACATATCCTCCTCCTCCTCCTCATGCTCTCGCTTCTCCTCCCCATCCTCCCGTTCCCCCTCATCCTCCTCCTCCTCCCCTTCCGGGCCCTCCTCCCCATTCCCCTCCTCTACCGCCCCCACCCCTCCACGCACCACTCTTCTCCCAACTTCGCCCCTTCCCATTTCGCGCCCCTCAGCCCCCTCCTCCCCCTCCTCTCCCTCCACTCCATCCCCATACTCATCATACTCATCCCCATACAACTCCTCCTCCTCCGCCTCCTCCTCTCCCTCACGCTCCCCACCTCCTCCTCCTCTCACCCCTTCCTCATCCTCATAACCCTCCTCTTCACCCTCTCCTTCTTGCTGCTGCTGCCCTCTCTCCCCTTCATCCTCCACTCCCCTTGCTTCCGCGTCCTCCTCATCCTCATACCCGTCTTCATACTGCCCGTATCCATCATCGTCCCCACCATCACCCCCACCATCACCCCCACCACCATCCACATCACCATCCACACCAGCAGTAGCAGCTCCTGCAGCCTCGTCCTCCCCTCTGCCATCATCACTAGCACCATCGCCATCATACAAATCACCCCCCTCGTCATACTCACTCCCACGGGCGCTCCCCCCATCATCATACTCACTCCCACCACTGCTGCGTGCAGCAGCAGACCCAGCAGCACTGCGATCCCCTCCTCCTTCCCCACCATCAAACTCCCCTTCACCCTCACCATAATCACCATCTTCTCCTCTACCTTCCCCTCTGTCTTCTCCTCCAACTTCGCCTCTGTAATCATCTCTGTCCTCTTCAAATTCATCTCTCTCTTCCTCTCTATCTTCATCTGAGAACAAATCTCTGTCCTCGCCCATCTCTTCCCCCTCCATCTCCATCCCCTCCTCCTCCCTCCCATCCCTCCTCAACTCCGCATTCTCCTCATCACCATCCCTCTGCCTTTCCTCCTCGTCCTGTTGCTCCTCCCCTTCCTGCTGCTCCTGCTGCCGCCATTCCTCGTCCTCATCCTCAGCACCACCAGCAGCATCACCTTCATCATAACCATAATCCTCCTCGTCCTGTCTTTCCCCGTGCTGCTCCTGTCCTGCCTGCTGCTCCCTCCATTCCTCTGCTTCAGAGCCCTCCGACCCACCATACAAATCATCTCCTCCCTCCTCCGAACCATCTTCTCCCCCTCGTCCTCTCTCTCGCACCTCCCCCTCTGCTCCCTCTTCCTCCTCCTTCTCCTCTTCCCCCTCCCTATTCTCCCTATCTCTCTCCTCACCTTCCTCCCCCCTCTCACCCCACTCTTTCTCTCCCTCACTCACATCCTCCTCGTCCCCCCCATACCTCCGTCCATCATCATAATCATCACCCTCTCCCTCCTGCTCGTCTCTTAAGCCACCTCTCCCCACGTCGCGCTCCCCTTCACTGTACTCCCCCTCGTCTCCCTCGCTATACTCACTCCCCCCCCTTTCCATGCCTGCATGCAACAGCCCTCCCTCTCGCTCCTCACCCTCCCCACCATCCTCCCCTTCTCCTTCTCCTTCCCCTTCTCCTTCCTCTCCTCCCTCTCCCTCTCCCTCTCCCTCTCCCTCTCCCTCTCCCTCTCCCTCTCCCTCTCCCTCTCCTTCTCCTCCCTCTCCCTCTCCCTCTCTATCTCCGTTTTCCTCTCCCACTCCCTCTCCGTTATCCTCTCCCTCCCCATCTCCTTCCCCCTCCCCACCTCTCTCCTCCTCTCCCTCTCCTTCCCCCTCTCCCTCAACTCCCTCCTGATACCTTGCATCCCCGCTCTCCGCTTCCCCTCCATGCTCCCCTGCTTCCCCTCCATGCTCCCCTGCTTCCTCGTCCTCTCTGCGTAACCCCGTCTCACTAACTCTATCATCACCGCCATCACTAAACCCATCATCACCATACTCTCTCTCTTCGTTATAGTCATCCTCACCCTCATCCCCAAACCGGTCGTCTCTACTTCCCCGCAGCTCATGCTCCTCCCCTCTGTCATCACCATCACCATCACCGTACATATCACCTTCATCACTGTAATCACCTTCCCCTCCCCTATCCTCCTCCTCATACTCCTCCCCCTCCTCCCCTCTGTACCTCTCCCGCTCACTGTACATATCTCCTTCCTCCGACCCATCCCCTTCCCCTTCACGCCCTTCCTCCCGCCCATCCCCATCGCCCCTTTCTCCCCCCTGGTACTCATTTTCATCCCCGTTATCATCAGCCCCATACTCATCGTCACTGTAAACCCCACCACCATCGTCCTTACCCTCTCGTTTTTCGTGCACCCCTTCCTCCCCTGCATTGTCACCCCCTTCGATATAACCACCCTCAGGGCCCTCTCTATAACCCTCCTCCCCTTCAGCATAATCCTCCCCTTCCTCACTGTACTCCTCACCTTCAGCATACTCATCCCCTTCGTGAACATGCCCCGCTCTGTCCCCCTTGTAATGGCCATCCTCGTCGTCATAGTCATCTCTTCGCCCCCCAAGCTCCCCCCCTTGCTCTCCCTCATACTCCCCCCCCTGCTCTCCCTCATACTCCCCCTCATGCTCTTCCCCATGCTCTCTTACACGCTCCCCTTTATACTCTTCACCATACTCCCCCTCATGCTCCTCCCCATACTCCCCCTCTTGCTCTTCCTCATGCTCTCCTTCATGCTCCCCTTTATGCTCTTCCCCATACTCGTCACCATACTCCCCCTCATGCTCCCCCCCATACTCCCCCTCTTCCTCTTCCTCATGCTCTCCTTCATGCTCCCCTTTATGCTCTTCCCCATACTCGTCACCATACTCCCCCTCATGCTCCTCCCCATACTCCCCCTCTTGCTCTTCCTCATGCTCTCCTTCATGCTCCCCTTTATGCTCTTCCCCATACTCGTCACCATACTCCCCCTCATGCTCCCCCCCATACTCCCCCTCACCCTCGTAATCTCCCTCCTCATAATCACCTTCTGCTGCTTGTTCGTTTCCCCCATCTTCAACATACTCCCCGTCCTCGTTATAAGCTTCTTCCTCTCCGTGCTCTCCTTCCTCCCCAACGTACTCTTCTTCTGCATACTCCCCTTCAACGTATTCGCCTTCATCATACTCGCCTTCTACATATTCCCCCTCGTTATATTGCCCCTCTCCCTCCTCATCCTCTCCCCCATACTCTCCCTCCTCACCCTCTCCCCCATACTCTCCCTCCTCACCCTCTCCCCCATACTCTCCCTCCTCACCCTCTCCCCCATACTCTCCCTCCTCACCCTCTCCCCCATACTCTCCCTCCTCACCCTCTCCCCCATACTCTCCCTCCTCACCCTCCCCCCCATACTCTCCCTCCTCACCCTCTCCCCCATACTCTCCCTCCTCACCCTCTCCCCCATACTCTCCCTCCTCACTCTCTCCCCCATACTCTCCCTCCTCTCCCTCCCCCGCATATTCTCCCTCCTCACCCTCCCCCGCATATTCTCCCTCCTCACCCTCCCCCGCATATTCTCCCTCCTCACCCTCCCCCGCATATTCTCCCTCCTCACCCTCCCCCGCATACTCTCCCTCCTCACCATACTCGTCATAATCATACTCGTTTTCCTCCTGCGGGCCGTCGGGCGGACCCTCTCCTGCCCCAGGCCCAGGTCCCTTGGGAGGGGGAGCAGCTCTTAACCCCTGTTGCTGTTGCTGCAGCTGCTGCTGGTAATTCGGGTCATCTGGGTCATAATCCTCATACCCTTCACCTTCCTCCCCGTATTCTCCCTCTTCTCCATACTCCCCCTCTTCACCATACCGCGCGTCCCCTCCCCGTTCGCCTCCTTCGCTGTATTCTCCCTCCTCCCCATACTCGTCATATTCATCTTCGTACGCGTTACTGTCATCCCCGGGCCTCCTGTTACGGGGCTCCGCCGGGTCTGGCGGGAGCCCGCTGTTATTCGTCTCGTCCCACTCATCGTCATCGTCGTTGCGATCTCCGCGCCCGCTCCCGTCCATTCATACACTCTCCGCGCTCGCCGGTCGGCCTCGCGGGGCTGCTGCGCGTGACAGGCAGTATGCGCGTGCGGTCGGCGGAACACGCACCTTTGCGCGCAGGTTACCGGCGGAACGCGCGCATTTGGCTACAAAACTGAGGGGGGGAATGAGTGTGGTTGAGGGGGGAATGGAGCGGGTCGTAAGGGCGGGAGAAGAAAACGAGGGTTTGGAAAAGGTAAGAGCGCAGCAAACAAAGCGATCGCAATAAATGCAAAGTATCGCAGAGAATGATTCAAATTATTTACTATGGTTTGTAATCGGGTACTCTGAATGAAGAAAAGGGGTCAATGCGGCTGAAACAAGCAGAAAGAAGTTAAGCCGGTTCACTGGCGACTGGCATGAAGGACCCAAGTATCAGTCAGGCTAAGAGTATCCTTCAAAAGAGAAAGGGGAAAGTAAGGTGGCAAAGAGCGGTGGAAGCAGGAGGTGCTGTGGAAAACGGAAACTCGCCGTTGTGCGCTACGAAACACGTTTAAGATGACGACAGTCTTATACTAGCGTGCGGTGCGAGTGAGGAAGAGGAGGGAATTGACGAGAGGGGTAATCGACGCGAGTATGGACGAGGTCGAAAGTGGAAACTGGGAACCTTGCAAGCGAGAGAGAGGGAGAAAAAGGTTGTTCGGAAAAAAACGAAGGAAAAAAATACGTAAAGAAACGAAGTAAACGTTCGTGACTTAAGAACCTACGTAGAATCTCAGGGCAAGTAGCATGGATCAAGTAGCGCTGCCGTTTTTTTCTCATCCCAATCGTCAAAGCTTGACTGATATTGCGTGCGCTTGGCGCAATTGCATCCTCTGCTTTCATGCACGTCCGATGCTACATGAAAAAGATCGCTCGGCGGAAAAGAAACCTAACGGCTGGTAAAGCCTAGAACACTGTCTGCTAGTGTGTCTAATTGCCTGGGTGAACTTAGTGGGTGCTGCAAGCTCTTTCCCCCACCCAACCCAACCAACAATAATTTCTCACTGCTTCCTGCAAGGACTGTACTAGCACACAAGTACTTCCGCTTCTGAGCTGGTACGGCCAAGCGATCAGAGGAAAGGTAAGGCAGCAGGTACGATAGAGATGGGATAGTCCCGAGGTTGGGTGGGTTGGTGGTGTTGTTGAGCATAGAGATGACCGTACAGCAGCTTGTAACTCGTCTTGTGTTGTTATTGGCTCGCGAGGCCACTTTGTAACTACATCTGTGCTCGCAAGCTCGATGAATCAGAGCAGGAAAGCCCCACGTCAAGAAGATAAGTTACAGCGCTCACTTGTTACGCACTTTTTTCGCATGAACGAATCGGTGCGATTCGCTCGATGAGGGCACGACTTCCGCGCGACAACGAAACCTGGGTGGAGCAACACGATTTGGCAAGTTGCAGCCTTGCGCCAAGGCGACAGGAACGGCTGAACGGTTGACACTGACTTCAGTTCCAAGCTCCATTTGCGTTGACAATATGTTTGTTTACGTAAACAATGCGGTGGTTGTGTCTGAATGAGGGAGGTCAGATAGGTGGTACTGTTTCTGTAGAACGGTGTCTGCGCTGCTGTGGGTTCGCTGGTGTTCTGTGGAATGATTTCCTGAATTGGCGAAAGCTTATGAAGTGTAATTGTGCCGAAAGCTTAGGGCATCTGCCCTTCAAGCTTGTGGTGGGGAGCAATCACACAACTCCGATATAACAACATTCGAGATATTTGCTCTAAACCCTTGTTTGGGGATTCGTTGTTGCACACGTGGCCACCATTTGCTCGAGTGGTTCTCAAATTCAGAGATAATTGCTCGAGTGGCCTCGCCAGGGGATTCTCAACGTCTTTTTTTTAAGAATGAACATTACCCTTCAGGGGTATCTATCCTCAAAACTTCTGTATTGGTTACTGCGCGATCTTTTATATCCGAAATTTATGTTCATGACCCTATATGACCGCGCCTGATTGGACGCTCATATAATCGACCAATCCTGCGCGGCCATTAATGGTCGCGCGCATCATATTTTAATGCCCGATCATATATTTCCGCAGTTATAAACTGCAATGCCCTTAATGACCGCGCATGATTGGTCAGTTATATGCACGGTGCCTTTTTTTGAATTGCGCGTCCAATCAGGCGCGGTCATATAGGGTCACGAACATAGATTTGGATACTGAAGATCGCGCAGTAACCAGTACAGAAGTTTCGGAGATAGAAACCCGTGTAGGGTAATGTGACGGGTTAAAAAAAGCCAGTTGGAATCCACTGGCAAGGCCACTCGAGCAATTATCACTGAATTTGAGAACCACGCGAGCAAATGGTAGCCACGTGGGCAACGCTGAATCTCCAAACAAGGGTTTGGAGCAGTTCTCTCAACAACATTCGCCCGATTCTCGCTTCCACTTTCGTGCAGGCACCTGCGCCTCGACTGGACAGCACCCGCACAAACCACAATGCTCAAGAAGAGAACCCTGGGCTAATTTTCCTTCACAAGGAAACTAATTGCAGGCTCAGCAGGATGTAGTGCGGTACCAGAAGCGGGACTCTTATGTCTTCTGCTTAGTTAAGTGGAAACTTCTGAGGAGCGAGGCCTTTCTCATTTTGCCGAGGCACCAATCGATATGGCAGGCGATTTTAGGGAGTTAATGACGAGGTTCCGTGAGCAAGCCTGAGGACGTGGCACGCTTGTGCTGTTCGAGTAGCATCACCTGAAATTGCAGAGAAAGTTTACGGCTCACAGGGTAAGTATTTAAACAATGTCCTAATGCCAACTAGGGCAACTGGATGGCGTAGAGCCATTTAAAACACGAGTGGGTTGGTCGATTGTCACCCCACCTTTGCTTCCTCCTCGCCAACTTCCTCTTCTCTCACTCCCGTCCATCCACTGCACTCCCTCGCAGCGAATCCATCAAAACCAGACTACAATGAAGGTAATTTGATACACATGACCCAATGTAACCGATTAGGCAGGAAAGAGCAGCCATGCCCCCCCGATGCAAGCTAACAATTGTTCAACGCTTACATTCTGACCAGAGTCTGCGTCAAGTACGAAGGAATTCAGGGAGATACTAAGTTGGCCGAAGGAGTCAGGAGTCGGTTGCGAAAGTGTGTACCTTTTCTCTTCCTCTTCCTCGTCGATTTCCTCCATACGAAGTCCCGGCGCTGCACAGAACGTAACTCAATCCCGTCCGTTCCTCGTAACCCACCGTAATGGGCGGTGCGGAGGCCAGGCGGGGTGGCGACTCGTCCCTCCGCTCCTTTCTCCCCACGGCATTCCTGCGCCGCACGCTATCGTCCTCCTCCAAGCCGCGACACTTGAAGCGTAGCAGCAGTTACGCTGCGGTCGCGGACTTAATCTCCTGTAACCCCTCGGCGATGGCTGTTATACCGCTACTGCAGCCGGAACCGCGCAGCCAGGCATACTTCGACGACGAGGTTATCGACGAAAAGAATAACGAAGGTTACAATGCGATTGGCGACGACGACGGCGACGCAGCTGAAGAAGCGACGCGCGTTGCGACCGTAGGCACGAAGCGCGGCGGCGGGCAATTCGCCTGGAAACCCGACGAACCGGGATCCACCCGAATGCCGTCCTCGTCGCCGCGAAACGCGGCGATGGCATACGGCAAACTGGGCCCTTCCTTCGGCCGGCTAGAGTCCGCGGAGCCGTTAAGTCCAACGGTCACCAGCCATGTAGTAGGTCATATCGACGCGAGTCGCGTTCGCCGAAGCGTGTCGTGGGCTGAACCAATGGAGAATGCTCTTGTGAAAGGCGCAGCGGTGGGTGACTCGTGCAGGGACAGGAGCAGGTGGAACACGAACGAGACGAGTAACGCGTGGAACGCGAGTAGCGTGAGTTGCGTGAGTAGCGTGAGTTGCGTGAGTAGCGTGAGTGGCGGGAGCGGAAGCAGCGGCGTGAGTAGAGCGTGCCGCGCCATGGAAGGCCGACCCAGATCCGCCGGGAGCGGCAGGCGACCGCAACTGCAACTGCAGCAGCCTCTCGACTCCGCGCATGGCGTTGCGCGTGGCGTTGCGAGTACTGCTGCTTGTAGCGCTGCGTGCCGCAGAGATGGTAGCGCTGGGATTGCTGTGAACCGCGCGCAGTCGCGGCCGTGGGGGCACACGTGGTCCGCGGATGCGGCGGCTTGCGCGGATCCGGCCGCTCCCGGCACGGCAACTGCCGCGCGTTGCTGCGATCGTAGCAACGGCGGTTGCAGCAGCGGCGGCTGCGTTGGTAGCACCGACGTAGCGGGTGGGACGGTTCGCCGGTATTGCGGGACGTGCGGTAGAGCGGAAGGTGTCGGGCTTAGCAGGGACGGCGGGTGGTGCTCCGCGGATGCAAGCCGCGCGGAGCGTGGGTTTGGAACTCCGGGCGGGGGAGTGCGGGGCGCGGGGCAGGCCGGTTGCGCCTGCGGAGGGCTCGCGCAAGATGTGGGCGGAAGACGAGACGGCGCGGGGGCACGCGGAGAGCGGCTTTGGTTTCGAGAGCCGTGCGACGGGCTAACAAGGGGGGTGCAATGCGGTGCGGAGGAGTGGAGGTGCGAAGAGGAGGAGGAGCAGGAGGGGAGTGGGGAGGAGGAAGAGGAGGGAGGGGGGGGCATGTTAGGAGTGGGAGTGGGAGGAGTGGGAGGAGAAGAGGAGGACAGGGAGGAGGAACCAGATGTGATAAGATACAAGCAGATGATGGGGAGGCAGCAGAGGCAGAGCCAACAGCAACAACGAGCGGGTCCATTGCGGCAGCAGCAGCAGCAGCAGCAGCAGCAGCAGCAGCAGCAGCAGCAGCAGCAGCAGCAGCAGCAGCAGCAGCAAGAACGGCAGCTGCAGCAGCGGCCGCAGCAGCAGGAGGGGGCCAGAGGCTTGGATGTAGTGGTGCACAGTGGCAGTAATAATGGCACCAGCAGCAGCAGCAGCAGCAGTAGTAAGGGCCTGCGCAGGCTTGGGAGCGGTCTGAAGAAGAGCCTTAAGCCGATGGTGCGGGGGTCTTCGCTTCCCCAGCTGTGGTCGGGGTTCAAGGTCGCGCTTTCTGATGAGCCTCACGACGCGTCCGGGCCCAGGATTCAGATTGCCCGCCGCAATGACACTGGCGGTTCTGCTGATGGTGGCAGGGAGAGTAGTGGCAGTGGAAGTGGTAGTGCCAGTGGCGGCGGTAGTGGTAGTGCTAGAGCTACTAACGCGTACAGCTGCAGCGCGTCCTGCACGAGCCCTGACGTGCTCGCTCCCAGCACCAACGCGTGCAGCAGCAACAGCAGCAGCATCACCACCAGCACCACCACCAACACCACCACCACTGCTTCTGGTGCAGAAGCACCCAGCAGCATGGCAGCCCTGGTGCGTGCACTGACCCTCCCTGTGCTGCTTGCCGAGAGAGCGCGTGCAGCAGAGGCGGTGCGTGTGGCCCTGCGCAACAGCCGCAGCAACAAGGACGCGTTCATCTCCGCAGGAGGCGTGGCCGCGCTGCTGGCTCTGCTCCGAGACCTGCTGCTCGCGCTGCTTGGCCCGGTCGTTGGCCTGCGCGCTTTCGATGCTCCGCTGCTGCAGCAGGGACGCCTGGTGCGACCGGGTTCGCAGTGGCAGCAGCAGCAGCAGGTACTAACCAAGATGGGATGGCAGCAGGAGGCAGCAAAGGGAATTGAGCAGGGCGAACGGGCGGGGGATGGTGATGTTGACGCGTTGCTGCTGCTGGTGCGCGGATTGGAGCACTGTGTGACGGCACTGCTCAACATGTCCCTCGTGCCCGGCACCAGTCAAGTCATTGCCGCCTCTGGCGGGATTTCCATCCTGGCGTGCGTGCTGCAACTCCCTGCTGACTGTAGCAGCGGCGGCGGCGGAGGCGGCAACGGCGGCGGCGGCACGTGCAGCAACGGCACCACCAACACCACCACGAGTTATTGGAGCAGTGGCGGTGGCGGTGGTGACTGGAGCACGGACGGTGCAGGCGAGCGAGCGGGAATGCTTCTGGAGGGGAGCCAGCTGGCGAGTGCAGAGGCGCAGCAGTCAGTAGCCACCAGCAAGGCCAACACCGCAGCAGCTCTCTTCGTGCTGTCAGCAGCAGAGGAGCACCGGGAGCTGGTGCGGGAGGCAGGCGCTATTCCGCTGCTCGTGCAGCTGCTGGTGTGTGGCAGCCTGCGCGCGCGCAAGGACTCTGCACTCGCGCTCTTCCACCTCTCGCGCAACGCAAGATGTGCCGCGGATATGGTGCGAGCCGGCGCTGTTGACGTGCTGCTGTCGCTGCTGCACTCCCCGGGGAGACCTGAGCCGCAGCAGCAGCAGGGGAAGGAGTGGCGGCTGCAGCAGGGGCGGCAGCAGGGGCAGCAGCAGGGAGGGCAGAGAGGGCGGTCTCAGGAGAAGGCAAGCAATAGCACGAGAAGCAGAGAGAAGAACCCAGCTGCGTGCAGGACAGAGGTAGGAGCTGGAGGAGCGAGCTGTGGTGGCGCTGATAATCTTGGTAGTGCCACCGGTGCTTCTGGTGCTGCTGATAGGGCTGGTGATGCTGGTGGTGCCGATAGGGCTGGTGGTACTGGTGGTGCTGGTGGCAGTGCGAGCGGGGATAGCAGAGACGAGGAAGCAGGTGGCGGAGGCATGGCAGGCAAGTGCTTGGCAGTGCTGGCGAATCTGGTGAAGGAGGGCGTGGGCGTGCGTGCAGTGGCAGCAGCCGTTGCTCCCCACCTGCCTGCTCTCGTGCACCTGGTGCAGCGCGGCAGCCCCCGCACGCGCGAGGACGCCGTCGCCATCCTCTCGGAGCTCTGCTGTGCTCGTGACGCTCATGCTCATGCTCATGCTCATACTCGCGTGGAGGTGCGCCGGAAGCAAGCCCCGCTGCAGCGGCATCAGCAGCAGCAGCAGCAGCAGCAGCAGCAGCAGCAGCAGCAGCGGTATCAGAAGCAGAAGCAGGCTCCGGAGCAGAACCGAGCGCAGCAGCAACAGCGAAGCAAGACCCTTGGGAACCAGGCGAAGCAGCACGGGGATGAGGAGCAGGATCAGGCACAGGAGGAAGAGGGGGAAGGGGAGGAAGGGGAGGAAGGGGAAGTGGGGGAGGAAGAGGGGGAGGAGGTAGTGGTGGCATTGCTGAGGTGCATTGAGGGCAGTCGATTCATTCCTCTGCTGGTGCAGCTGGCGTGCTGTGGCATGCCCCGCACTGAGAAGTGCGTGCGACCCCTGCTGCAGACACTCACCAACCGAGCACGTGACAGGGCAGGGCACAGGGCGGGGGACAGGGCAGGGGACAGAGCAGGGGACAGAGCTGCTGACAGGGCAGGGGACAGGGGAGGTGACAGGGCAGGGGACAGGGGAGGCGATAAGGCAAGTGAAAGAGCTGGTGACAGGAGAGGTGATAGGGCAGGGGAGAGATACAAGGCGCACAGCAGCAGCAGCAGCTCTGCATTGCTATCACCCCGCTCGGCATCCTCACGGCCGTCGTCCTCAGCGTCCTCCCGTCCCTCCACATCATCACGCCCATCCTCATCCTCCTCCACGTTCTCCTCAGCTTCCTCCTTCTCCTCCCTCTCCTCCTTCTCTTCCTCTTCATTGTTCATCCCCTCAGTTCCACCCTCCTCCTGGTCCTCCTCCCTCTCCTGCCAGGTGCCAGCAGCAGTAGCAGCCCCATCTGCTCTCGCTGCGGCCCATCCCTTGACTCTTTCAATCCCGTACTCACCTAAAGGCCCATCGCTGCCGTCGCCTGTGGCAGCACCACCCGACTCGCCCGTTCCTTCTGTTTCAGCATCGTTGTCCGCAGCAGCAACAGCAGCAGCCGCCGCACCAGCAGTAGCAGCACCTTCTTTCAATGCCAGCAGCAAGTTCAGCAGCATTAAAAACAGCAGCAGAGGGCTTCCTGTTTGGGTAGGCTCCAACGAAACAGGTTCAGGGGTTACCAGTGCATCACAGTATTTGTGGCAACCAACCCCAATTGACCCACATGCACATGCACTTATACACCCATCAGTGATCGCAAGAACCTCATCTTTGCCTGTGGTGAGTGGAGGAGGAGCTACTGCAAAGGGTGGTTTCGGGGTGACAAAGGGTGTAAGAGGCGCTCCTGCCTATCTTCCAGTTGAAGGAATGGAATCCCTTAGCCTTCTAGATTCCGTGTGATATAAATGGTTTGATTTATTTCATCCCATAGCGTAGAGAGCCTGTGCATGGCCATTCAAATTTCTGTAGCCTTTTGCACTGTATTTTCTGGACAGCACGAATAAAATCCATAAACGAAATCACAATAAACTACACGAGATTGGGTTCTCTCGCCTGTCTGCACTCCTCTCTTCACCTCCTCACCCTCCTCCCTCTCCTTCCCCCTGCGCCCTCGAGACTCGGCTTAGGGTTTGCTGCAGCCTGCGCACCACGGATCGTTCCCGCCATGTCTGCCGCTGCTTTTCCGCCGCAGTAACCGGCATCACTGAACCGCCTAAGGCGCCTCCTGTCGGCTTCCATTCGCTCCAAGCCTCTCTCTGCATCGCATTTCGCGTTTTTGCGTTTCTTAGGGTGTTACCTCTCGCCTTTCCCTGTCCCCGTTTGCTGACCATTGCGGCTCTCGAAGCGCTCTCGACTTTCCCGAGAAACGATCCGCGCGTGCCTGCCTGCCTGACTGGTTCTTCCGCGTTTGCGCGAAACGGCTTCTCGCTTTCGGCCTCATGCGCTGGTTCCGCGGGAGAACGGACCAGACCGCGATCATCCGCGCAGGAGTGAAGCGCGGTTGAAAGGGTTCACGCGCACATCTGGGACTCATTGTGCGGCACAAACGGGGTGGTTGCGGAAGCGCGAATCAAGCAGTGACGTGACACGCGGCAACAACGCAGCACCGAGGGCTCTTGATTCTGCCTTGAAATTCCCGTCGGAATCTTCGACGTATCGCTTCGCTGCTTCGACTTTCACTCTCGTGGCCGCACTCCACCATCTTCCGTCTCCGGTAGCATCGTCGGCCCCTGGTGTCGTCTCGTCGCGTTTGTCAACTGTACCCGTCTCCGGGAGCATCGTCGGTTTTGCCGCTTAATTGCGCGGCATCGCAGGGCGATGCGCGTTGGCATTTGAGGCGCATCGCAAGCCGCAAGCTACGGCTGAGTGATTCTCGTCGGCATTGGCGGGTGGTGGACGGCGGGGATCAGCTTGGCGAGCGTAATTGCCTTGCGCGTCTCGGCGAGCTCTCGAGAGTCAAGTGACGTGCGGCCTCGACCCTACTACGCGCAAGCGCCGCGTCAGCTCAAGCATCGTTCGATCATCGCGCCGACATGGCCAAGGCTCTGCCACGTGTCAACCTGGCGGAGGTGCAGCACGCGCTCTGCATGGCGGTGGGGCCGATGCGCGAGGCGCGGTACCTTCAACTCCTCGGCGAGTATCTCAACATGCGCCTGTCGAAGCGCGAGCTCGATCGGCTCGTTCCCGCCACTCTCGGCTCCGAAAACGTCTTCCTGCACAACTCGTTCGTCCGCGCCGTCTTCGCTTCCGCCTGCGCCAGCGACGCCCCGCCCCCGAATGCCACCCGCGCGGACGCCGCCGCCGCCAATGCCGCCAGCGCCTGGGCTGCGGGGATCGCGGATCCCGCAGCAGCGGCGGGAGGCAGCGCGGAAGGCGAAGCGAGAAAGCAAGGCGCGGGCGGCGGAGGCGGGGCAAGCGCAGGCGCGGGGGGAATGGCTGGTGGCGGGTTTGAGGGCGCTCTTCCGCAGTTGGCGGGTTTTGACCCGTCCTCCGCCTCGCCGTTCGCGCAAGACGCGGGCATGGATCGGGAGAACGGATACGAGGCGCCGTCGCAGCCTTCCCCCAAGCGTCAGCGGGGCCTAGCAGCGCGGGATCGGAAACAAGCCGCCGCCGCTGCCGCTGCCGCCGCCGCCGCCGCCGCCGCCGCCGCCGCCGCCGGTGCCGCTGGTACTGGCAGTGTTGGCGGCGAGTCGGGTGCAGCAGGGTCCGATGGTGGCCTAAGAAAGCGGATCTATGGAAGAACTTCAGACGGAATCGTCCCAGCGAGCCCTGCTGCTGACGATGCTGCTTTTAACGAGTACGCTGACCCTTCCTCGCCGAGCGCCGTGGCTGCCGCTGCGGGTGGCCCGGGCGCGGCGGCGACGCCGCCTACTGCGGGACTGGCTGGCTCGCGCATGGCTTCCGCGGACGCGCGCATCAACGGCGCAGCAACAGGCGCCGGCGGGGATGCGCACGACGGCGCAGGCGGGGAAGCTTCCGCTCGCCCGTGGAAGCGGCTCAAGGTGGGGCGCGGGGGCACCGGCGGAAGATCCGCGCGGATGGAAGCTGCTGGCGCGGATGGCAGCAAGGGGGAAGGGATGGAGGACGGGGACTGGGCTCTCCCCGCGGACGGAGAAGGGGACTGGGGGGACGGCGGGGCATCTGGGGGGCCTGCGGGATTGTGGCCCGCGCGGGGGGAGCCGCATGGGGAGCAGCAGGGGGATCGGCGCGCTGGGGCTGGCGGAAAGGGCAGGCCGCCCCTTCCGCGGCCAGGGGGACCGGCTCCGCCGCCCCCTGTGTGCTTGGCGCAAGCATGGATGGGGGAGCAACAGGCGGAGCTGCTAGGGCTACCGCTGGGCCGAGTGTGGGGGGACCACGAGGTGAAACGAGAGGCGGGTGAGGGGGAAGAGGAGGACAGAACTTACCGAGGAGAGGAGGAGGCGGAGGAAGAGGACGGGAAAGGAACGCCAGCAGCAGCAGCGGCGGTGGTGGCGGCGGCGGCAGGGGGTATGGGGGGCGCGCCAGAGATCAGCAGGGAGACGGAGGCGCGGCAGAAAGCGGCGCTGGATGCGTTTCTGTCCGTTCCGCTGTCCGCCCCGCTGGGTATCCCCTTCCTCGCGTCCAGCCGCGGGGGCGCGGCGGTTCCCGTCGCCCCGCGCCCCCCGCCCGGCATGCCCCTCACGCACACGCTCCTGGGCTGCCCGCTGGACTCCGCCGCCGCGGATGCCGCCGCCGCCGCCGCCGCTGGTGCTGGTGGCGCGTGCGCAGATGATCCTGCTCCCCATTCAGGCGGCTTGGGGGAAGAAGGAGAAGGAGCAGCAGCAGCAGCAGCAGGAGGAGGAGGAGGAAGAGGAGGGAGAGGAGGAAAGGAAGCAGGGCGGAGGAGGCAGGGGGGCCCTGGGAGAGGGTCCGGGGGGTGTTTACCCACGAGTGACGCGCTGCTGGTGCGCATGCGGCAGGTAGCGATGAGAGAGAGCGGGCTGGCGGGCGGAGTGAGCGCGGAAGCGGCGGAAGTGGTGCAGAGGGCGCTTATCTTGCATCTCACTAATATCATCCGCTCCTGTGCTGCTGTTGGCCGCTCCGCTGGTGCTGCTGCTGGCGCCATTGCTGCTGCCTCTGCTGCTGCTGGTGGTGATAGCAGGGGAGGTGGTGGTAGTGGCGGTAGTGGTAGGGGGGTCGGGGGAGGGGCTGGGGACGGGAAGGGCGGCGGAGGGAGGCTGCCTCTTCCCCCTCTTGCGCTGCTCGCGGATAGGAGAGGAGCAGCAGGGGGCTGGGGGGGAGGTGGAGGAAGAGGAGGGGGGAGAGGAGAAGGAGAGGGGAATTTGGAGCTTGGGTTCTCGAGTTTACACCTGGGGGATATGCTAGGCCCGAATATCCCGAGCGTGGGCGCGAATGGGTGTGGACCTGTGGTCCCGTCTGCTCCGCTGCTCTTCTCCTCCCCTTCCCTCTGCCCGTTAGGGTTGGCCATGCTAGGGCAAAGTGCGGCAGCTGCTGGTGTGGCGAGAGGGAGTGGCTTAGGGATGGGGAGAGCAGGGGGGAAAGGAATGGGCGCAAGGAGACGAAGAGGGAAGTTTTTGGGAGTGCGGGGTTGGGAAGGTGGGGTGGAGGGGGGTGAGGAGGGGGATGATGAGGAGGAGGAAGAGGATGAGGTGGGAGATGATTTTGATGGTAATGGTGTGGGAGGGGAGGGGGAACAGGGCATGGAGGAGGAAAAGGAGGAGGATGACGAAGATGAGGAGGAGGAGGACGAGGAGGAAGATGAGGGGGACGGGTTAGAGGGGACGGGGGAAGAGGAGGAGGAAGAAGAGGAGGAAGAGGAGGACGAGGAGGAGGAGGAAGAGGACGAGGACGAGGAAGGAGAGGAGGAAGAGGGGGGAGAGGAAGGGGATGAGGAGGATGAGGACGAGGAAGTGGAAGGAGATGAGGAGAAGGAGAGAGGGGAAGGAGAGCAACAGATGGGTATGGGCTTAATGGCTGGCTGGCAGCAGCAGAATCAGCAGTCGTGGCAGCAGCTGCAGTGGCAGCAAGTGCAGGGGAAAGGTCGGACAGGAATCAGTGAGGAGGACGCACTGTTGAATCAGCAGCAGCAGCAGCAGAATGGGCACATGTATGGTTTCAACGGGCAGGCACAGCTTCAGTTTCAGCAGCAACAGCACGGCTGGAAACAGGACCAATGGCCTCAAAACCAACCTCAAACTCTCCCTGACCAAGAGCAGCACCAGCAGCAACAACAACAGCAGCACCAGCGGCAGCATGCAGTTGGCACGAAACGGGTGGGGGCTTGCAGCAGCGGCAGCAATGGCAGAGGTGGCAGCAGCAGGCATGGCAAGGTGACGGTGACAGTGGAGCTGCTGCTGCTGGCGCTGGAGGTGGCGCCTGAGGTGTTTGGCAGTGAGAGGGACATGATCATGGATCGCCTCCTCTGCCTCCTGCACTAACTCTGACTCGCACGCGCCACTCACTCGCCCACGCACTCCCTCCCTCCCTCCCTCCCTCCCTCCCTCGCCGTTGTCGGTTGGTTCTGAGACTTCTCAAAAAATCAATCTACCAACAGAAAGTGGATCGCCTCTCCACCTCTCCACCTCTCCACCATGTCGCAGCTCTGCCAAGTGCACGCTCTCACACGGTGCATGAGGCGCCTCTCTCATATGGCTGAGTTAGAGGTGTTTGGAAGTGCCTCCTGAGCTGGTAACGGCTCTCTGAGTTGTGACGCGCCTCCTCAGTCGCCTCAACGGCCTGAGGTACCTCTCTCTTTCATACATGCATTCACTCTCTTTTCGCCGTTGCCTTGCCGCTCTCATCACATCCCTCCTCATATCCCATCATCGCTCTCCCACTTTCACTATCCATCCTGCTTCGTGATCATCCCCTTTATCCGATCCCCCATGCTTTATTTAATCCTTCAAAATATCAGTCTGCATTCATATCCTCCCGTCCCGTCCACCTCCGTTATCCCTCGCAGCCTCACTAGGTGACCGAGACTAACTAGCTAGCTAGTGAGTGGTATGGTATCAGCAACGCTCCAGAATAAACAGTCGCGTTACGTTAACCGCTCCATTCAATACTACTCCATACAACGCTGCATCGGGTCGGGGACCCAGGGTCTCTTCTCGTCTGCAAGCACTGGACCTTCATTCACACCCACCAATCCACGCTAACATCCGGTACCAGTAGCACATACTGTACCGTGCCGACATGGTCCGTTTCAGGCGCCTAGTTCCCTACCATGATGATAGGCAAGGCATGCTAGTCTAGATCCCATAGCCTTGCAGGGGCTCTATTAGTATTGATGCCGCCCCGTTCCTCTTCCTGCTCAGTGTTGCCTCGTTGTAGTTGCCCTGGTTTATATTTAGTAGATATGCCATGTCATGCCTTAGTTGTGGCCTCTGCCTTGTCTCCTGCCCTGCTGTCTTGTCTCTATTGTATAAGCATGTGTTTGCTTTGCTTCATTGATGTGTTATTCCTTTCCCTAATGTGTGTTGGCCTGTCGGTGGCAACTTGCTGAGTCGCTAATGATAAAAGAATGCAGCGTTAAGAAATATTAAGCATGCGGTCTCAAAAGGCACACAGGCCAAGAGTTTTTTAATGCAAGGGCTTCATTTCCTTTGAAGTGGCATGCTGTATGCTACGCTTGGCATGCTGTATGCTACGCTTGGCATGCTGTATGCTATGTCAGAATGTTGTATGTGTCTAGCCTGCAGTGGGGTACACTATAGCGAGTACAGCCCAATTTAGGGTTTCCTCCTAAATGTATCCTGCTGCTGCTAGTCCATGCTAGTTCTAACTTTCTACTACTCTTTCTCAACATGCTATCAGAGCAGGCCGACCCTCCATGGTCGATCCTGTGGGTGGGCCCACCACTTGCTTCCACTGCTGTCCCGTCTGTCACGCGCCCCGTGGCTCGCGACATTTTTTCTTCCCGCCACGCGCTCGGGGCACATGGCGGTTTTCTGCCCGCCATGCGTTCGGGGCGCGTGGCGGTTTCCTGCCCGGTTTCGTCGCCCGTCGTGGCGCCCGGCCTGCGCGCTGCCCCCCCTCCCCTCCCGTCGCCTGTCGAGGCGCCCCGGGGGCCCACGCGTCGCCCCATTGTCAGAATGTATTTGCTGTCTAGCCTGCAGTGGGGTACTCTGTAATGAGTACAACCCAATTTAGGGTGTTGTACTTGTATCCCAACTCTTGCTAGTGAAACCCCATTCCTCTCCTTCCAAAACCTCTCGATACTTTTCCTAAACTCGAACTCAACTACCAAGGCTCCTAAACTATGGCTCCTAAGCCAAACTCATTCTAGTATTTTGTCACCCATCTCGTCGCCCATCGCGACACCCCAGGGGCCCGCGCGCCGTTCCCCCTCCCGTCGCCCGTCGTGGCGCCCCGGGGGCCCGCGCGTCGACCCATCCCGTCGCCCGTCGCGGCACCCCAGGGGCCCGCGCGTCGTCCCCCCTCCCGTCGCCCATCGGGCGCCCTGGGGGCCCGCGCGCCGCCCAATCCGTCGCCCGCCGTGGCGCCCTGGGGGCCCGCGCGTCGCCCTCTCTCGTCGCCCGTCGGGGCGCCCTGGGGGCCCGCGCATCGCCCTGCCCGTCGACCGACGCAGAGCCCCAGAGACCCGTGCGTCGCCCCGCTTCCGCTTGTATGCCCCCTGCATTGGGGGTATGGGGGTGGCGGGTGTGTGAGCCGTCCCCTGCTCCTCCTCCTCCTCAGTCTCCCACTACTGCAGGTGCCGCTGAGGGGGGTGGGTGTGTGGAAGCCGAGGGAGTGGCGCTAGGGGGGTGTCGTGGGATTTGTGCTAGGGGTGCAGCAGGGGGCGTGTGAGAAAGGGGATTGGGACAGTGGGGGGAGGTTGAGTGGAGGTAGCCGTCGTGACGCCAGCAGCGCTTGTAGTCCGGAGCCGGCGAGCTTCGATAGCCAGTGAGCCCGTTGCACCAGTCGCCCGTGGGTCAGTTGCTCCAACCGCTCGGCGTAGCCGCGGAGTCAGTTACTCCCGTAGTTCGGTGCCGTCGTGCTCCGGTAGCCAGTGTGCCTGTTGCTCCAGTTGCCCTTGTGCCAGCAGCTTCAGCCGCCGCCTCCTATCTCCTCTCCTCCCATAGTTCTTCCTCCTCCTCCTCACTTGCTCCCTGTGACTGCCTCTAGCTTTGCTTATCATTGTGAACTATTGCTCTGCTTGCTTATTGTGCTGATTACACCTCACTTTGGCTATGGGGTTGTGTCAGAATGTTGTATGTGTCTAGCCTGCACTGGGGTGCTCTATAGCGAGTACAGCCCAATTTAGGGTTTCCTATATGTATCCTGCTGCTGCTAGTCCAAACCCCTCTTTTCTGTTCTAACTTTCTGCTACTATTTCTCAACATGCTACGCTAGGCACGATGTGTCAGAAATTGTATTTCTATATATAACTGTATATTAGACTAGCTAGGGTAGTATCTCTTCTATTGTTGGTGGTATACCCCCTTGGCCACCTTCCCTTGCCCTATATCTTGTATCTCTCTCTATAGTGAACCCCCTTCTTTGTTGACGAACTTCCTCTTCCCCAAACCCAAGGCTCCTAACCTAATCCTAACATGCTATCAGAGCTACTACAGTCTTAGGACCTACTTTCTTTCAAGGCACATGGGCCCGCCCACACTACAGCGCGGAATGCGCTATTTTTTTTCCGTCACCGATCGCGCCCAAGGCGCCTACGCGTCCCGTCCCGTCGTGCTCGTCGCGCCCGAAGCGCCTCCCCGTCCCGATTCCCGTCGCCGCGGCGCCCCTGATTCTCGTCGTTGCGGCGCCACGCGTTCCGCCACCGCGGCGCCCTGCCTCCCGTCGCCGTGGCGCCCCGGTTCCCGTCGCCACGACGCCCCCCCTTCCCGTCAACCGTGGCCCCTCCCCGCCCCCGTCGCCCCGCGATTCGCCAACGCCAGCGCGGACGCCAGCGACGAGCGCCAGGGCCACGGCCAGCGCGGAGCGCCAGCGCGGAGCGCCAGTTCCAGCCCCTGCGACCAGCGCCAGCGCCTGCGCCACCGCCGACAGTAGCTCACGCCGCCCCCCCCTTCCGCGGCTTCCGACGTGGGGAGGGGGGAGGGGGAGATGTGGGGGTGGCGTGTCAAACTTATATGTTGCTTATTATGTAGGCTATAGTGGGGTAGCCCATATGGGGTACAACCCAATTAGGGTTTCCTACTTGTACCCATCTTGCTGCTAGTTCATTCATTCTTGCTCGTTGGATTCTGACATGGCGGGTGCGAACCACCAGGGTTTCGTCCCTCCCTTCCCTCTTCATCTCTTCCTGCAGCACTAGTTGCTGTAGGGGGGAGGGGGGGGGAGGAGAGAGGTTAAGGGGGGATGAGAGAGGTTAAGGGGGGACAAGAGAGAGAGAGAGAGAGAGAGAGAGAGAGAGAGAGAGAGAGAGAGAGAGAGAGAGAGAGAGAGAGAGAGAGAGAGAGAGAGAGAGAGAGAGAGAGAGAGAGAGAGAGAGAGAGAGAGAGAGGGTTTTTTCTATTCTGTTTTCTCCTTTCGTAACGTTTTCTCGTCGTTTCGGGGTTTGTTACAATCTCCGTCGTTTCTGGGCGTGGTCACCCAGAGTTCCGCACACCGGCACCTGTTGCGGGGGTTCAACCGCAACCGGGCACCTACCATGGGGGTTCAACCACGGTGGTTCAAGCTGCTGCACGGTGATGACTGCACTTAGGGTAGAGCACCCCTCACTAGCTATGCTTGTATGCAAATAAGGGGGGATGTCAGAAATTGTATTCTATATCTAACTGCATATTAGACTAGCTAGTGTAGTATCTCTTCTATTGTTGGTGGTATACCCCCTTGGCCACCTTCCCTTGCCCTATATCTTGTATCTGTCTCTATAGTGGACCCCCTTCTTTGTTGGCCAACTTCATCTTCCCCAAACCCAAGGCTCCTAACCTAATCCTGACACGCAACACCATGGGCGTTGTGGTGTGGCGTGGTCCCAGTGGATGGGTATGTCAGAATAATTGTGCAGAAATGATTGGATTAGCAAGAGTTGGGGTACAAGTACTAACCCTAAAAGTCTTGTACCCCAAAAAGAGTGCCCCACTATAGCCTACAAGTAAGATTGTACTTTGACATACCCCCATAGGTTAAGTGGGGGACAAGACGGTCACAAGACAAGTCAAGCAAGACAACTGAGCAAAGCAAAGCAAAGGTCAGGGTGGATCTCAAGGACACCACACAATCCGAGCACAAGGAAGCGGCCACAAGGCCAGTTCACATGCAGAGTTATAATAGCAAGGCAGTATACTAATCACAACCTAGCAAGAGGAAACATGCAGGTATTAATAGAGATATCAGTGTACAAAAGTGCAAGATCAAGAGACAAGCAGGTGAGGTAAAACGGGCAGAAGCCCAAGAGCAGTGCAAAAACGCTGAAGATCACTAGACCCGAGGGCCTTGGTGAAGACATCAGCAGTGTTGGCCCAAGAGGCCACGTAAGAAAGATGAAGCTGACCACGCTGCTGCAGCTCTCGAGCAAGAAAGTACCAAAGAGCAATGTGCTTCATCTGTGCTGCAGTCTCTGCCCCCGACACAAGGCAAGCATGGCCTTGCTGTCGACGTACAGAACTGGAGGAGAACGAGGCCGCTCCCTCAATTCGGTCAGCAAGTAGGTCAGCCAGCGTAGCTCCTGTGCAGCCATGGCCCCAGCGTAGATCTCGGCCTCACAGCTGGAACCAAGCACAGAAGAAGAACGAGTGGACCTCCACGAGACAGAACCAGAGCCAAGAGTGAAGGTGTAACCCTGTGACGAACGCTGAGTCGTCTGGTCGTCGGCCACTGAACTGTTCTGTGAGTACCACTGAACCCCGTCCTCCAAGCACGAGCACCATGCCCGATGTACTGCACAACTAACGCAGTACCCTCTTCGCAGCATCAAAGCACACCTTTCGGTGTCTACCAGGTGCCACGTAGCGAGCCAAGAGGCTGAGAGGGTACGCGAGGTCAGGTCATGTGCACGTCATCAGGTACATGAGGCAACTCACAAGCTCAGGGTATGGACCACTCGGCTCTACGGACTCGTCCGAAGGTGGAGCTGAGAGCGAGTGGTTGGGAGACAGAGGATTGGGCTGTGGCGAGGATCATTGGAAGCCGAAGCGCCGAAGGACCTGGTGCACCATGTGTGACTGAGTCAGTGTGATGCTGCACCGTGCTCTATCCCAGGTGATCTG